GTTGTTAACCAATGTCATAAAACAATATGTGTACTACTGTTTCATGAGGAACTATTTGTTCTGTAAGCCTTCACCTGAAGTACAATAAAAAATAAAATAAAAAAAAAGTTCAAAAAACCAGAGAGGAATGGAACTAAAAGAAAAAGCAGAGGGCTCCCACTTCTCAGAGACAAAAGAAACAGGCCCCAGTGAGAACAGGATCCTGGAAGAGCTGGGTCATGACCTTCATCTCCCTCTCACCACATGACTTGGGAAAATCACCCCAGGCTCCTGGGCCTTGGACCTTATTTCATCCTTGGAAGAACAAGAGCATAGGGCAGTGTGACTTCTCAAACCCAAAAGGAGAAGCAGGGAATGAGGGCAAAAGCCAGGAGCCCAGGCAGGGAGCATGGGCTGGGTCTGCTGCCAGCCTGGAGCGGGTCACGTAGCTGCTGAGAGTCCCACGGCACCTCCCCCTCATCTTCCTGAGTGTTGGCCACGTCTTGGGGACTCTCTGAAGCCCACCACTGGTGCCAGAAAACTTCTCCAACCATTTATCTCCAGGGTCAGCTGCCTGGCCTTCCTCGGGTATGTGAAGCCAGTGAACTTGACCTGACTTCTTGGGGTATAAATTATATTGGAGTATTTGAGGGAGGGGAACCACCTCTTATGAAACAAGCATGGCTATATTATGGTGGTAGTGTAAAATTTGCTTGAATTTTAAAGACCAAAGAAAAAAAACCAAACCTATTGCCATTGAGTCAATTCCAACTCATAGCAACCCTATATACCTTAAAAATAATGACTGAACATTTGGAGAAAAGGTTCTGTAGCAGAATCCTGATCAAAAGGGGGAAAATGCAAACAGAATTTCAACTTCTCATGGAATCCACGCTTTCTGGAGACAGGGAGGCTAGGTCAACCTCTGAAACTATTGCCCCGAGATAATATACCCTGAAGTCTTCTTAAAACCAAACAATAGCTTAGCTTAACTAGTAAAGAATGACGGCCTTGAGCATTGTGCTTTTTAACATCTATCTATCATATTTCTGTGTAATAGTGCATGCCTTCAACGTTTGTTTGCCAACTGCACCCTCCCCCTGCAGGGCATTTTCGTGGGCGCCACTATGCCAATTTTTTTTTTTTAATATGTTGCTGTAAAAAAAAAAAGAAAATTGGCATAGGGTGCTTGCAGAAGTGCCTTGTTGGGGGAGAGTGTGGTTGGCAAACAAACATAGAAGGCGTGCTTATTTGTGTAAAAATACGGTAATGGGATCAAGTAACAACAGCAACTGGAAAGACTAGATAGAAAATTTAGGGGAACTGATTTTATGTCAATGGAGGAGGAACACCTTGGAAAAGGAGGGTGAGAATGGTTGCACAACTCAAAGAATGTAATCAATGTCACTGAATTATACGTGTAGAAATTATTGAATTGGTGTATGTTCTGTTGTGTATATTCTCAACAAAAACAATAAAAATAAAATATTTTTAAAAAGGAAAAAAAAAAGTGGATTGCTGAGAGTGTTGACTCAGGCCAAAACGCCTACCCAGCAATTCGCTTGTCCAGTGTTAACTTAGAACTTGCCTGGTCTCTGGCCCCCAGGTACCTGGTCTCATTGGGCTGCATCAAACCCCTCTGTGACTTGCTGACTGTTATGGATTCGAAGATTGTACAAGTGGCCCTCAATGGACTGGAGAACATCCTGCGGCTTGGAGAGCAAGAGGGCAAGCGCAGTGGCTCAGGGGTCAATCCCTACTGTGGCCTCATCGAGGAAGCTTATGGTATGTGCCCTCTCCCCAACCTCACCACTGCCTTAAGCAGAGAGGTTCAAGGTCAGAACCTGAGAATTATAGGCCTCCAACATGGTATACAAAAAGTGAGGATGTGGTTTTTCTGGGAGCATCCATAGCTTCTATGAGATTTGGGTCTGTGTTTCCAAAACTGTTTAAGAACTCCTATTCTAGCCAAGTTGTACCATAAAAAACAAAAAACAGTTGCCTTCAAGTTGATTCCCACTCATGGTCATCTACAGGGTTTCAGATGTTCCTGTGGGACTAATGAGCATATACTGAGTGGCTAGGATAGATGGGGATTTGTAGTTGAGTCATGTTCCAATCCAAGGTTTTAGGTATCAGTTTCTTCTCTTGTCTGAAAAGTAGATCTTTCTAATAGGCCCTTCCCAGTAAGTAGGTATGGTACAGATGTACAGATTAAGGTCCAAAACTAGTAATAGAAGCAGGAACTGGAAGGCATGTGTTTTCATCTGAGTTTCTAACAAGTTCCAGTAAGAGTACTAGATTGACTCACCACTCATCTCTGAGAAGAGAGACCTAGAGAGGTTAAAAACTTGCCCCAGATCACAGAGCTAGTTGGAAGCAGAATCAGGACTAGAACCTCTGATGTGTAACTCATTTTGGTCTCTTTCCTTTGGGATTATGTAGTTTTAGGAAGAGATAATGGCTCTCCTCTTTGAGGTCAAAGAGTGATTTGATCATATTATTTGTGTTTGTAAACACTAACATCTCAGGGAAGGAAAAATAGATAAATGTTACATGGGCTCAACTTCTTCCCATAGAAAAGCACTCAAACTTCACTCTTCTCCCTCCTTCCCTCTTGCCACCAAAGGCTTAGATAAAATTGAGTTTCTCCAGAGCCACGAGAACCAGGAAATCTACCAAAAGGCCTTTGACCTCATTGAGCACTACTTTGGTGTAGAAGATGATGACAGCAGCCTGGCTCCCCAAGTGGATGAAACGCAACAGCAGTTCATCTTCCAGCAGCCTGAGGCTCCCATGGAGGGCTTCCAGCTATAATGTCTGCCTCCGGGGAGGGGAGGGGATGGGAAGCACCACCAACCAGTGGAAAAGCAGCCCTCTGGTGGGCGGGAAACCAGCCCCCCCACCGTCAGCTACCGTACACCTCTGCTGCCCTGGAGACTGTGCTCTTGACCTGCTCCACCCCCTTCCCTGGAGGGAGCACCCTCTGGACAAACAGAACCATCTGAGGCTCACGTTTGGGTTTTGTGACAAGAAGGGGACGTGTTGAGTTTTTCTTCCTTACACTATATTTTGGCTGCACACATGTCTTTAACCCAGGAGCCCAGGGGTAGACAAAGGAGGACTGAGGTAATCAATTTTGCACCTTTTTTATTTTTTATTTTTTTTTCTTTTGTGGTGACTTCCTTCCCTTTTATTTTTCTTCATCCTTCCCGGTCCTCTGCCCTGATTTGTGTAACTCTTACCTTGGGTACTTGAGCAGATGGAATATTCCAGAGGTGGGGGGTGGGAGGGGAGGGGAGAAATCCAAAACAAAGTGTTCTTGCTCTGACAGAATATTAATCTTGTACGCTTGGATTGAGTTATTTAACTTTTTTCTTTTGCACATTTTTCTTGTATTAAGATTGCTCTTCTCAAGAGCCATGAGTTGCTGGTTTTAGGAATCCCGGCTGTCAGCATTGTGTGGGACTAGAGGCTGAGGGGGAGGCCACCATCAGGCAAAGGTCCTTACTTCCCTCTGACCCCTTGCCTAGACCTCTTTAGTTTGGGAAATCCCCCGTACTCTTCTGGGACAAATACATCAGTGGGAGTGGAGGGGAAGAGCACAGGCCTTCAGACGGGGCTTCCCATGCATCGCTACTGATCCCATGTTTCCTACCCACCTTCCAAACGGTGCGACCCAGCTTCATTTGATTACTTGAAAATTCCCCCCGGAGCTGAATGAACCTCCGAGGTGGCTGTATTTTCTCCTAAGCACGAGATGGGAGGCTGTGGTCCTTCCTTTCTCCTGCGGAGAAGATGGTCCTCGCTCTGGTGACCCTTAAATTTCAGAGGAGGTCGGAGTGAGAGTGTCATGTATTGGGATAGCCAGGGATCCCTGCCTTTGGCCTTTCTTCTTCTTCCTATTCCGTAGTTGGATCATGTATATTTTACTTCCAAAGGAGAGAATGTCAAAAAGTTCTGTATTTTTTTATATTCTATATATAAGGTAGGTCAGTCGTAATTGGTTTCAAGAAGAAGAACTGTCTGTAATTGTTCTAAGTAGGATACTGTGAGGAAGACCAAAAAAAGATGTGGAAGCTCCCACACTTACGGGGCGTGAGCTTGGTCCGTTTCCTCTCTGCTTGGGTTTTGGGCCACCACCTGGGACCAGTCCTCAGCTCTGGAACATTTATATAGCGGGACAGCTTGATCTGATTGTCCTAGTACCCGAAGGGAGCAAGGATTCCCCAAGGCCTGGTGAAGTCCTGACTGCTGAGCATCCGACTTACGTCAGGAAACCCAGAAAGCAGTCTGCCTTCTCAGATTCAGTCTCAAAGCCCCCTCTGTTCACATGATTTATCACACATGGCTGCCTCTCCTGTCATCATAGAGACTTCAGCAGCCTGAGTGCTTTTGTGAGAGCTATTGGTATCTTCCTGTTTGGGGTCCTGGTACCTGGTTTGGGTCTTGCCCTTCCTTGTAACAACTTGCCTTTTCTTTCTATTTGAGTAAAGCTAGTGCAGTGCCTCAATGGCTTCCCTATGACTCTGGGTGGATTACATATGATAATAAAGCCTAGTTGTCAGGGATTAGGGTGGAGGAAGTTGTCGGCTAAGTATAGACCAAGTGTGGAACTGCTGAAGGCACAGTTTGAACCTCCCCACCAATCCCACTGTGGTCAGTCAGAGAGATGCCCTGCTCCGAGCTGACTTTTCCTTCCCTAAACAGTGCCATTCTTGCTCCCATTCCTACACATCCCCTTCTGGCTCAGGTGAAATCCATACCCCTCTGCTTATAGGTCTAAAGTTCAGGTGTTCACTGTGGGTCATTGGTCTTGGATTTGCCCTCTCCTTCTAGTGTTGAGGTCCAGCTCAGGCCATTTTATGAGCAAGGTGATTTGGGGCTGGCAGTTATCACTGGCAAGTTACACCAATGCTGTTCTGCCTTGGTGAGTCAGATGCCACTTATCAGCTTGGGAGTGATGACTACCAACCCACAATCTTGCAGGTAGGCAAGGGACAGGACATTTTTCACTTGGCCTGCTGCCTCCATTACAAAACTGTTCCCCTACAGTTCAAAGAAAGGCTTTATTCCCCCATTGCCCTTGTCCAGAGGGTAGAAGCAAATTTTTTAGGATCTACTTTGTACATGTCAAGCAGTCTCTGACATTACAGCCAAAGTCTTAGTGTGAAACCTACACATCCTGCTTTCCCAACTCTTCTTCCAAAGTCTACTTTTGCTTCAGATCTGAGCTCTGTACCAGATGGAAGACTTTTTTGGTCATCTAGCTGGTGCTTAAAGCCAGTTTTCTCCAAGTACTTCAAAGGCTGAAGTGTCCCTGGGGGCACAACGTGAAGATTTCTTGTCAGAGGAAAGTGGCCTCTTAGGAGCTCTCCTTTGTAGTGTCATCCCCAGACCATGTTTTCCAATTATCTTTCTCCAAGCCCCTTCAGTCAACAGGTGAAGTTCTTCCAGCCAGCATACACAAGTCTTTTTGTGTTTCGTCTCCTTTGGCCATCTTTGGAAACAAAAAATTACTTCTTCAGCCCAGGCTTGACAGCCATCTTGTGATCAGCCCCTGTGTAGACCCCAGTCCCTGGCCTGAGTGAGGTCAAAGGCTTTCTGATAGAATTTTCAATGGTTGTTGCAGGGATGGAGGGGCTCCCCAGCCTGCTAATAACTGATACACTTGGACATGTTGGAATCCTGTGGTGGCATACGCCTGGTATGTCCACGTTAAGATCTGTGGTTGTAGCTTTGCAGAGGTTGGGGTGGAGGAATCTAGATGTAGATTAAGGGGACAAGGAGCCTTTTTCGTAGCTAAAATGTTCAAATACTGTTTTAAACTGTGCCGGCTATTTATTGCCAGCCCCTCTGGGCCCTCTACTCCCAAATCAACTCGCTAGTACTAACAGGGTCTTTGGTCTTCAGTTCCCAGCTATTCCCTGTGACTGCCTGGCCCTGGTGTTGGCTACAGCCTTCTAGTAGAACCACATGGGTTTTATCCTCAACTGGCCAGCCTAATTACTTGGGACAGTGGACACAAATGACCTTTCTAAGGAGCAGGTGTTGATGACCCCACCTTTCAGAGGCCCTTGGTATTCCGCCTTACTAGTTTCCACCTTCTTTGCTTCTTCCAGGAACCCTATTTTCTGGAGCTTAACTGCACAGATTTGTAGCTGCAACTATACTTAGTCAAGGAAGAGGGAAAGAAAGCTCTCAGCACAGACTTTCTATTTTACTAAAGCTAAACCAGTTTAAAATTAAAACCATCTAGGAGAATGAACTGGATTTCCATAATCTGTCTTCTTTCCTTCCCCCTGCACCCTAGAGTTATCCTTGTTCTAGCTAACTAGAAGGGAAGGAGATGAAAGCCTAACGATACTGCCTCATCCCGGGCCTCTCTTTGAAAGCCCCCCTCATTTGCTCAGGCCTCCTCTCTTCTCCCTAGACTCACTCAGCTTAGTATCCATCATCTTGGGCATTCCTCTGTGGAGTCATCTTACGAGCTCAGATTCTAGATTCTCATATTTTCCGGGTCCCTGCAGGCACTCCAGGGTCACAGGGAGAACAGGCCAGCTGGGGGCCAGCCTAATGTCAGAGACATTGCTTGAGATGTACAAAGTAGTTCCTTAAAAAATTGCTTCTACCCTCTGTACAAGGGCAATGGGGGAAAACAGCCTTTCTTTTGAATGTGCCTGCCTGTCTGCCTCCCTGGCAGCCTTGGGGAGGGGTATAAAACTTAAGGCACTGAATCATAGGAGATGTTCATAACCAGTGGCAGTATCTTTCAGGCAGGACTACTCCAGGAGTGCATGAGTGTGGGAGTGAAACTGCTCAGAGTAGGTTTCTTCCATAGCTATTTTCGGATTGCACATTCTAGACCAACCTTATCCAGTATTTTTTCTGTGTCTTAGCTTTTAGATTCTTTTGTTAAGACAGCAAGCCAAGAATTTGCCCTGCAGGGATCCATGCTGCAGACACTAACTGCTTTTTGGCCAAGGCCTTCATAAGGATTCATTCATCCCATTGTCTATCCCCTAGCCCTACCCTTAGATTAAGACCATGGCAGGGGAGGAAACTGAGGTCAAGACTAACCAACTCTGTATATTAAAGCTGGTATTTTTCCTCTGAGGGCATTTTGCATTAGACCTGGGCTATATGCAGAATCAAAGCTGGCTTTGAGAGTTAGAAAAGACAGCATTAAATTTGGGCCCCAGATACCCTAGGAGAGAGGTTTGCATAGTGTGCTATAAAGATCTTGGGCCTACCTGGCTACTTCTGGGCCAGCCTGACTTCTTATGTACACATTAGCACTACCTGAACCCTTCTGTTGAAAGCTAGCCCTGCTCCCCTAAGCAGGGCAGATTTTCAGCCCTTGGGCTTGGGGAGAGAAAACTGTCTGCCATGCCCTGGGGCAGTAAAGGCAGGCATACAGGAACCTCTGACTCAGAGGATGTCCTTAGCATCCTCAGGCCCTGGAGTTGGGTATTGGCTTCTTTATCCAGCTTTTGTGGAAACTGCCTTTGATTGGATCACTAGAGAAGGAAAAGGAGGTATAGGACCCCAACCATCCAACAGAGCAGATGTCCCCCCAAAACAGGTTAGGTTCCCAGTTACAGACCCTAGGAAGGTGAATCCAACCCTTCTCCTCCTCACTGGTATTTCTTTCAGAATTCAGTTGTGTTTTTATTTTTCCAAGAACCATAAACTCTGGCTATTTTTCATGTTCTCAGGGCCCCTGGGTAGACAGACACAGCTTGATGATTTTAGAGGAGACATAGGCCAAGAAACCATGGCATTGAGTGTGCTGAGTCCAGACAAATGATATTTATATACACATCCAAATTTGAAGAGAAATGTATTTCTTTAGGTTTCAAACACTGTAATAATAGATATAAAGCAAAAATAAAAACGTGTTGCAAAGTTCTGAATCGTCTCTTTTGGTTTGGAGTGAACCTAGGCTGGATTATTGGAAGGCGAATGAGGAGAGGGTATTTAAACTTGTTAGTCTAACAGTAGAAGTGAGAATTGCTCCAGCCTGCTCCTGCTATGAAAGGTTTGTTTTGTTTTGTTTTTAACAACTTTATGGACATATAACTGACATACAATAAACTGTACCTATTTAAAATGTACAATTGGATAATTTTTTATATACATGCACTCATGAAACCATCACCACAATCAAGATAGTGAACATATCCATCACCCCCATAAGTTTCGCTGTGCCCCAGCACTAATGTGCATTCTATAGTCATTATAGCCCTCTGAGTCTTATAAGCTAACTGAATATTGTCCGCAATTTTGCCAGTGAAGAAATCGTCTCATAAAAGTTGAGGTCATACAGTTCAGAAACTCCTCACTTGAGTTTAGAGTAATTCCTAAAACAAATTAGACAAGAAGCCAACAATGTGATTTTAGCCAAAGAGGGTTTTATTTGGCTGATAGTGTGTTTTAATTAGTTGCTGACATTAAAATATCAAGAAATAGCTGTCTTGAAAAACACTGAATATCTGCACTATTGGGCCTGAGTTTCTGCTTGGCAACAATCTGCAAGAGCTGTTCTACCGTTCCTAGTTGTCTCCCTGACTTGTTGCCATATTTCTTTTATACCAGAGGAAGTGACTTTTTAAACCCGTGTTTCTATTTTTCTTATTCCTTGCATGCCTGCTCTACTCGCATTACCCATCTGGTCCTGGAAGGCCAGTGTTGACCTTTCCTGCTATACCCTCCACCCCTTACTCCATGTAAGCCTGTTCTTGCTTATGTTCTTTAGTCCTGCCTAGAACATCAAGGCTTTATTGATACGTTACCTCAAGAGATTTCTAACATGCTTTTCCAGAAACAAGGCCTTCGTTTCAAGGGACCTGGATTCCAAATCCTGGCTCCTCAGTTCCTTCATCACACCATTATACCATATTGCCTCTCAGTGTTACCTGGTAAAGGTGAACCTTGGTGTTGGGAAATATTAAACAGAGCTCAGCCCTATAGTCTCCTTAAATTTGGGGGAAAATACTTAACATCCTAAGAGCCCCAAAACAATGCTCAATTTGAACAACTTAAAACCATTCTCTGCCTTCACTGGGTGCTTGACTCTGGGACAAGAGAATTTAGCCAACAATTCCGGCAGTATTCTTTGACTTGCAAGCAAATACTAATTTTCAACACCTTGCTGATAACACTGCAATAGAACTCTATCCAGATGTAGGGAGCTAGGACAGCTTGCAAAGCATTGGGAAGGCTCTAAAGTGGCCTTTGAGCTGGGCCTCAAAAGAGGGAATAGCATCTGCAAAAACCTGAGAAACGCTGGAAATAGTAAAAGTATAGTTGAAGCAAAAATGACAGAAGGGACGGGTAGGATTGGCTGTAAACAGAAGAAGCCAAACCGTTTACGCTTTCAGTTCCAGGCACAAGGATTATCGGCCTTTATTCCATTATCTATAGGTAATGGAGGTAAAGAATTGTGATTCCACATTTGGAGAAAAACTTGTCTTCCCCCTCCCCGCCCCCCCGCTTTGTCCCAGTGCTACTGGGACTTTCTCAGTCTAGTCAGATGGTGTGATGAAGTGGCCTGCAGAGTGGTGGGATGGTCAGAGAAAAAGGCTTGGGAATCTTTGCCTGAGGCCAAGCTCTCCCTATAAGGTCCCCTCAGCCCTTTCCAAAGACAGACTAGCTGCCAAACTGGTGATGAAGAGAAATTAAAAAAAAAAACTTTCACAAGTCACCTTGACTCATCCTAAGGGAAAGCATGGCTGAGCAGTTAGTACGGTGCCTGTTGCCTGACTTCCTGGTTTTGAATCCCAGCTCTAACCACTTCAGCGGTGTGACCTTGGACACGTTAGATAAAACCTTTTGCCTTACTGTTCTCATCAATAAAACGGGAATAATAGTACTCGTCTCGATGAGTAGCTTGAGGATTAAGCATACATTAGGCACTCAATGAACTATTACTGTTATTAAAAGCCTCCATTTGAAAAAGGAAATTGAGGCCCAGGGAGAGAAAAAAATACCCAATCACACGGCAAATGAGTGATGACGTCAGGACCGGAATACAGGTCTCCTGACTCCCAGCCCAGGATTCCAACCCTCGTCGGGAGTCCTCAGAGTTCCCTTGATTAGAGGCATAGATGTTCACAATGCAGGGTGGGAGGGGGCCGCATGCAGGAAAGAATAGTCAGGAGCAAGGCTTGCGGGTTGAATCATAGCTTCTGAGTGTATGAGGGTGCCCTGCGTATTTACACAGAACGACTGACTCCTTTAGGACCCCCAGGGTATCCGGCTCCTAGAACGAAAGCCCTTTCCATTGCATCTTGGGAGTTGTGGACAGCTAGCCCCGATGCATGGAGGGACATGTAGTTCCTTACCTCCCCCACCTTCCCCATTTACCCGCCTCAAAGGCCGCCTACACTTCAGCTTTCCCAGCAAGCTCCGCGAGAGCGCCGGCTGTTGATTGGCTGCAGCGGGAGCGGGCGGCAGCGGTTGCCCAGGGTTTCCGGTGCGAGGCCCGAGCTGGTGAAGCCGTCGATACGTCGGCGGCGAGGTGCGTACTGCGGCGGCTAGCGGGACGAGACAATTAGGGGGCTTGCAGGCCTGAATACTGTCTGCCAGTGGGGGCATTCACGCTGATTCCGCGCGTGGGCTCGAGTAGGGAGGCGGGTTAATGCCTGTGCGCATGCGCGGGCGTGCCGCGCGCGCGGCTGGAGGGCGCGCGGGGCGTGTGTGGCTGCGCGCGCGTGCCGGAGCCCACGTCAGTGCTGGGGGCCGGGGAGAGGGATCCGGAATAGAGCATCCCGCCACGTCAGTCTCCGGCCCTGAGCCAATCCCGCGCTGGGCCTGTCTTGAGGGGGCTGTGTTGTGCCGGGAAGTGGCTTTGGGAAAAAGGAGGCCTCTTTCCTCGCCCGTTTTTTCCAGGAGCAGCCCCACAAAAACCTGCCTGGGCACACCAGGTTCCCCTCACCAGCCAGAGACCGGGGGAACCTTTGGCTCCCCCCGGTAAAAGCCAACCAGTTTGTTTTAAGAAGCTTTGCGCGCCTGGTGTTGGGATTTCTAATCCAGGCTGCGAAGAATTTCGAAGTCTGGAAAATAGCAATTGTGTTTGTTTCTGAAGGATCTGCTCCTAATCTAACATTGCAGACCACAATGAAGAACCAAGACAAAAAGAATGGGGCTGCCAAGCAATCAGGCAACACTTCCAACCCGAAAAGCAACCCAGGGCAACCGGAAGCGGGACCAGAGGATGCCCACAGGCGGCCTAGCCAGCCTTCTTCTGCAACCGAAGCTGAGGATTCCACCAGCCAGGCCCTGGGGAAGCCTGAGGGTGTGTGCTAGCTCTGCTTTTCCAGTGGGTAGGGGGAGGAGTTTGTGGTACTCCTGTTTAGATTCTGGAGTTAGAGGCTGAGGCCTCTGTTTACCCAGGGAGGAGGAAATATAGAATGAGAGGAGGACAGTGCAGAGTCTGTGTGATCCCCACCCTTTCCCGGGGAGTTGATACAGTCTCCCACTTCAAACACAGAAGCCGAACCCTCTTGAGAGAAGGCTGTGACAGGATTAAACTAGGTGGCAGTCAAATGAGAGGTCTAACTAGCAAATCCTGGTCCCATTAGGAAACACCTCTGTCACCGGTGGGTAACTGTTCTCCATACTTGAGGCATTTATGGAACTTTTTTAATAGTGAGGAATGGCTTTTAGGCGGAGAAGGAGATAGACTAGAAGTTGAGTTTCTGCTACATGCTTAGCCCATGCTGGATGCTTTACATACTTATTTTATGCTCACAACAAATCTTGTTGGGTGGTGGTGAGGGATAGTGAAAACATTTTATGGGGAAATAAACTGAGCCTTAAAGAGATTAGGCAGTGTTTAACGCAAGCCAGTGAGTTTGGCTGGACCTGAAGAATCCCAACCACTGATATAACCCGTCTTATTTCTCACTCTGCCCCTCATCTTACCCTGCTGTAGGGGCTCAAGCCAAAACTGCTCAGTCTGGGGCCCTCCGTGATGTGTCCGAGGAGCTGAGCCGCCAATTGGAAGACATCTTGAGTACTTACTGTGTGGACAACAGTCAAGGGGGTCCAGGTGAGGACGGGGCACAGGGTGAGCCTGCCGAACCTGAAGATGCAGAGAAGTCCCGGAGCTATGCTGTGAGGAATGGGGAGCCTGAGCCAGGGACTCCAGTAGTCAATGGTGAAAAGGAGACTTCCAAGGGGGAGCCGGGCACAGAGGAGATCCGAGCGAGTGACGAAGGCGGAGACCGAGACCACCGGAGGCCGCAGGAGAAGAAGAAAGCGAAGGGGCTGGGTGAGCAGAGGGTAGCTACTCAGTTTACCCAGAGCCGGGGTGTGGGAGGCATAGCATAGAAACGTTCAGGGTGTTCACTGCACAAGGGCACCTGGCCTCAAAGCAAGTGGGGGTGAAGTCTAGCCTGCTTGCTCTTTGAGAAAAGGAGAGCAGGAGATCTGGTGGGCTCCTGTGCCAGCCAACACCACAGTGTGACCTTGGGCAAGTCCTTCCCCTGTCTGGGCCTTAGTTTCCACTTCTCTGTAGTAAGAGAATTGGACTAGACCAGCATGAAGAACTCAAACATCTGCATAAACCAAGCTAACCAGTGGACCCATATGGACCAAGAGAGTGCCTGCTTCATCCAAAGGGTTGACTGCCACCTGGTCCCAGCTGACTGATAGCATGCAAAACTACAGGCTTAGTGCAGCCAGATTTTTTTTTTTTTTTTAAACTTGGCAGCTAAAACACTAGGAGCCAAACAAAACCCATTTGTGGGCTGGATTTGGCCTGTGTGCCAGTGATCTGCAGGCTTTACACCCACCTCTTGGAGCCTCCTAGGACTGACACTCAGGAACCTGGTGCTCTGCTGTGTAAGGTGGCCCTCAGGGAAGGGGAGCAGTAGACTCTCTGACTTAGGCACAGGCAGTGGGGAAAGGCAGTGACTGACAGGCTGTTAAAGGATCGAGGCTGGGTGACGTTCTACCTATGTTCTATTCCCTACTGTCCTACCCCCAACTGTCGCCCTAATTTAAAGATAGAATACTTATGTAAAAAATCTTAGAGTCACGTATGTGAAGGTATATTCATTTTGTATTCATTCACTATTTGGCTATCTCTGTTGATAGGAAATTTTCAGTGCTTTCTCAGGGAGGCCAGGAGACTTTGCCTTCTTGGATCTTTCCTCTTTTGGAAAGGCCTTCCTTGCATTGAAACAGTAGCACTAAACTCGCAGGTGGGACACCTTTCATCTCTTGGTAGACCAGGCAAATTTTTTCTCCCACCAGTGGTGTCCACCAAGATTCCACAGGGCTTCAGTCATTCATTCAGTCACTGAGCACGTCCTCTGTGACAATCACTAGGGACAGTGCTGGGACCCTCACGAAGCATGCAATCTAGCAGGGAAGGCAGCCAGTTTGACGAGCAGAAATATAAAGTAGGATAGGGGAGGGCTGTCTTAAGGCTCAGGACTGTGGGCCCAGGCCTGGAGGGGCTTGGGTCCCCCCAGAGAAGTGTGTACATGCCTTTGCTCCCTGTGCTTTGCAGGAAAGGAGATCACGCTGCTGATGCAGACATTGAATACACTGAGTACCCCAGAGGAGAAGCTGGCAGCGCTGTGCAAGAAGTATGCTGAACTGGTCAGTCCCCAACCTGCCCCTCATAATACCTTCCCTGCCTTTTGAAAGTCAGCAGGCCACCTAGACTGGGGTCGGGGTGCAGGGGCAAATGGGTGGCTTAGTTCCTGTCCACTCTGTTCTCTGAGCCTTTTCTCCAGCTTAAATAGAGAATCAGGTCCCAGCCGGCCTCTTCAGGGCTGACAGTATGAGAAGGAACTTCACATTCCTTGAAAGAAATTTCTTAATGAGTTCCAGGTGGTAGAGCCGTGTCTCCTGGCTTGAGTCCCAGATACCATGTTCTCTCACCCGTGTGTGTTTCAGTATACAGTCCCCCAAAATACGGCCACACACGGTGCCATTATCACACTTAACAAAATTAACACTTAATATGTGATATTTTGTAATACCTAGTCCAGAGTCAGATTTCCCCAGTTGTTTAAAAATGTTGGTTTGATCAAATCAGGATCCACATGAGGTCTGTTTATTACATTCAGTTGTTGATAATACTCCAAAATAATCTTCCCCTTAGCACCACCACCCCTTTTTTTTTCCGATGACATTGACTTATTGAGAAACCAGATCAGTTGTCCTGGAGGACATCCCCCTTTCTAGCTTTGTCTTCCTTGTGGTGGCATTTAACTTGTTTATTTACCTCCTTATTTCCTGTGATGTGCAGGTTAGCTCTAGAAGCTTGATCCAATTTAGGTTCAACTATTTTGATAGGAATTCTTCATGGGTGGTGCTCTGTACCCTGGTGGTTAACAGTAGTTAAGCATGCGGCTGCTAACTGAGAGGCCAGCAGTTCAAACTTATCAGCTGCTCCGTGAGAGGAAATGTGGCAGTCTGCTTCTAAAAAGATTAAACAGCCTTGGAAACCCTGTGGGGCAGTTCTACGCTGTCCTATAGGGTCTCTGTGAGTCAGAATCGACTCGATGGCAGTGCGTTTGGTGCTCTGTACTTCGTGTTCCTTCACAGGAGACAGAGTGGGGTTTCCCCTTTTAGTGATGTAAGTAGGTTCAGATGGTGGCAACCAGATTCCTCCCTTTTGAGGTTCCCCAGCAGAATCTGAATTAATAGAGTCATCCGCTAATGGTCATTGCCTATTTATGTTAAAGTTCTCTCATTCTATTCACATTTATTAGCTGGAATCTCCTGTCAGGAACTTTTCTTATTGGTAGAATGGAGGAAATCATACCTCCCCAATGGGCTATTGCAAGGATTAAATAAAAGAAAGGGTGTTAAGGAGATAGCACCCTTTCAGAATGATCCAGGCAGGGAAAGATTGACGCAAGACAGGAGGGAGTGGGTTGCTGGAGTAAGCGAGGGGAGATGAGGTACTGCACACAAGCAGAGGGGTCAGCCTTGGTGAGCGACACAGCCAGGTCCTCATGATGGGAGGAGAGGACAGGTGCCAGTGGATGGGTGGTTGTGGCACTTGTGCCCTGCTGCACTGCTTGCCTTTTTTCACAAGGAAATGGGAAAGATAATCATAGCTGGAGTGGGGGAGGCTTGGGGAAGAGGATAAAGCAGTTGTCTAGAAGAGGAGTGTGAATAGCACAGGAAATTAGGATTGCTGAGCAGGCAAGGATCTTCTTGAAATTCTGAAATTGGCAGTGAATTGAAAGTGAGATCCTTCAAGCAGGGTCGCATCAGTGCAGGCACAGAGGAAGCAGGAGGTTGATTGACCAAGGTTGGGATTTTGCTAGGAGAAAGGGACAGGAGAGTTGAAGGCATAAGGAATCTAAACCAGGTAAGAAGGTAAATGATTAAAGGAGAGTTGAAGGAGAGTGAAAGGATGGTTGGGTCAGGGAATTGGAGGCCCAGTAGGCTCAGAGACTTATTGGGGACCACAGGTATTGGGGAGAATGAGCTAGAAAGATAGAAGGTGGTGGTCCTGGCCTTGAGACAATGGAGGTAGGTGGGCACAGGTCCCAGTAATGACAAGGTCTAGATGTGTGCTGTCCAGGATGGTAGCCACTAGCCGGTTGAAATGGCTAAACCAAATTTGGATGTGCTCTAATGTAAAGTACACATTGAATTTCCAAGACCTAGGGCAAAAGAAAGAATGTGAAATATCTTATTAATAAGTTTTTTTAATACTGATTCCATGTTGAAATTTTAATATTTTGGATGTTGCATGAGTAAACGTATTGAAATTAATTTCACTTATTTCTTTTAATGGAGCCATTAGAAAATGTAAAATTACATACGTGGCTCACATTTTATTTCTACTGGACAGGGCTGAATAGGACTGTGGGAAGGGAGCTAAGCTGGGCCACTGAGAGGGTCTATGGAGGAGCTAAGGACTGTGAAGCCAGGGAGTCAAAGGCTTGTCTGTCTATTAACACTGAAATGACGAAGAACAGTAGTCGCCATCGTGTTGGTGAGAGAGATGGTGAGCCAGTGCTGAAGTCTTGAAGGAATGGGGAAGAGGGAGTAAAGTTAATGAGTACAAGGTAGGGGAGCAGGTAGCCTTGTCTGAGGGGTCAGTGTCCACAGAGTTGAGGGGGTGCAGTGGTCTGAAATGCCTTGAGAGCTTTGTCTCTGGAGTCAGAGCTGGGATAGAAGCTGCGATCTGCTGGCTGGGGGGCCCCTGCTTGTCCTCTCTGAGTGGGTTATCGTGAGGAACAAATGGAGCTGTGAGAGAGCTTCAGTGGCTTGAGCTGTAATGGCTGGGTTTAGGAGAAGGGGCAGGAGTAGCCCGGCTCAGGGGACCCAGGGACAGCACGTTGATTCCCTTTGGGGAGCGCCCTGCAGGGCACTCACCTGCCCTCTCTGTCCCCAGCTGGAGGAGCACAGGAACTCTCAGAAGCAGATGAAGCTCCTGCAGAAGAAGCAGAGCCAGCTGGTGCAAGAGAAGGACCATCTGCGGGGTGAGCACAGCAAGGCTGTCCTGGCCCGCAGCAAGCTTGAGAGCCTGTGCCGTGAGCTGCAGCGACACAACCGCTCCCTCAAGGTAGGGTGCCTGCACCCTGGCAAGGGCACCTCTGGTCTCATTTGGCTTCATTTAATCTTTGGTGGGTGTTCTCCTTGAAAAGTACCACAGGCTTGCAATGTAGAAATAGACTTCCCCTGTAATATCCTACCTTAGACAGAACTACTTGTAACCATTCAGCATGTACTTGTATTATTAGTCCCAGGGTGGCACAAATGATTAAGAGGTTGGCTACTAACAGAAGAAAGGTTGGTGGTTCAAACTCACCCAGAGTGCCTTGGAAGAAAGGCCTGGGAGCTACTTCCAAAAGATCACAGCCTTTGAAAACCCTGTGGAGCAAGGACTGCGAGGCCAGGGAGGCAGGAGGTTTGTCTGTCAATGTTGAAATGTCCGAGAATGGTATTAAGAATGTAAGAATCACGTTGATGCGTGCTGGCAGAGCTGACGGCAGTTTATCTCCCAGGGTTTGGTCGGTCAGGCTTGCTGGGTCCTTTTTCTTGTTCTGCTCAGTCTGTGGTGAAACCCAGGTTGCTCCCATGACGCCCAGATTGTTTTCATGTGCATATCCTCACAAATGGGTCGATAAGTGTCTTAAGAAATTTGAATCAGCAAATGCATGGTATTTTGCAACTAGTTTTTGTTTTGTTATTTTCGTTAATGTTTGACGTTTAAAACATTACAAGTTTAATATAAATTCGATGTGAGGGATTCAAAGGCGACAAAAGTGTGAGAAATTAAAGGTAATAGTTGCCCACCCTTCTCTACCCCACTACCCAGCAGAAACCACTGCAGAGTAAACCTACTTATAGGTAAGTTGAAGTATAGCCTTTTAGAGTTTCTTCTCTGTGTATAAAATCTTACATATAATTTTTTTAATGAAATTATTATACATGTACTGTTGCATACACTTTCCCCATTTTTTGGAATGCTGTATTTTTTCTCTATCAGTTTATATAGGGTTATCTCATCCTTTTTAAGTTTTAATGAGATTCTGCCAGATTGCCTTCCAATGAGGGACACTGTACCCTCCCACCAGTCTTGTCTGAGGGCCTAATTCTGCACAACTTTGCCAGCCCTGCGTATTAATGAACTTTTACAACTTGGCCTATTGGGGGTGGGAGGAATGAAAGCACGTTGAAACAAGGATAGTCAATCTGAAATCCATGGGAGAATAGGCGTCAGGAGGTTTAAAGTGCTTCAGAATGGCACTCACATGTGCCTGCGGTTTTTTAGGGAGAGCGTCTCTCACTTTCTCCTGTGTGCACAGAGGTCCATTAGGAGCCCCCTGGCACAGCATCCCTGGATCCTGGCTACTCTTCGGTGTGGGAGCAGGAGGGCTGTTGGTGGAGGCCATCCTTGGAGGGAGGCTGGCTGGGAGAGTGGATGTTGGAGCTGGGGCTGACTTCTCTCCCCAGGAAGAAGGTGTGCAGCGGGCCCGGGAGGAGGAGGAGAAGCGCAAGGAGGTGACCTCCCACTTCCAGGTGACGCTGAATGATATTCAGCTGCAGATGGAACAGCACAACGAACGCAACTCCAAGCTGCGCCAGGAGAACATGGAGCTGGCCGAGAGGCTGAAGAAGCTCATTGAGCAGTATGAGCTGCGTGAGGAGGTAAGGTCGCCACAGACAGCAGCTTTGGCCAGGGGATGGTGAAGGCCCAGGGCCAGTAAGGCACCAACACAGCGCTTTCCAGCTTCATCCTTCTCCCCCTTCCTGGGAGGGGAGTAACGTTCTTCCTCTTACAAATGAGGAACTGAGGTGAGAAGAGGCCTGCCCATGGCCAGACAGCCACAGGTCCACGGTGCCTTGTCCCAAACCATAGGGCCAGCTATTCTTTGGAATTTAGAATTATCTAGATTTTAGAATGGAGATAGTGTAGGTGTACTATGTATTACATAGCACCTTTACCGGGGCTTCAGGGCAGCACCCCCAGATCAGACATGTTAATGTTCATGCAATGAAATGTCTGAATAGTCATGCTAAGTGGGATAAATACAGAGTATAAATAGCCTCAAGCGGTGCAGGTCAGTTTTGGCTGCCAGCAATTACAGTTTCTATTTTCAGAGCTTTTGAGAGCTTAGAATTGCAGGGGAGGGACTGGGCCTATAGGCAGTGATCAGCTCCGGGGTTCTGTTCGCAGACTCCTTGCTGCTTTGCTGTCCCTGCCACTTGAAAGGGTAGGTTGTCACTCCCTTGGCTGGTGTCGGCTGCTACCCAGGCACTGAATCCGCTCCTGGTTTGGGCACCCACGTGCCAGTCACTTCGCTGCGCCAGACCTCTGTGTCCTCATTGTGGGAGGAGAGAATCGCAGCTTCCCTCCAGGGCTGGGCAGAGGAGTGGGCCTTTGTTCTCAGCATATGGACACCACAGGCCTGCTGTGGGCCAGGCCCCTTCCTAGGCCCTGAGGGCTGTGGTGGTGGGTGAGAGAGGCAACACCCTGCCCTCTTGGACCCACAGTCCAGTCTGGTGATGTGGAGGTGACTACCCTGACCCACCGCTCCTTTCACTATTTCATCCTCTGGGAATAAGGCTGCATGTGATATATTTGATTTGAGGAGAGTTGGCTTGGTTCTTGTCCCTCCACGCTGAAAGACATGAAGGCTTCCAGGCCACTACAGAGTGAGGTACCCACTTCAAAAAGCTGAACCCCACCCCCGCCCCAAGTCAGTAAAGAACTTGGTATGGCCTATGGTGGGGGGAGGGGATTCTGCTGCTGCTTCTCGTTTATACTCCCTCCCCCATCAGTTTCTGACACTCCCATCCTGCCCCTCTGAACCTTAAACCAGATCACAGGCAACTGGAATTCATTACATCCCAAACAACTTTCTCCAAGCCACCTTCCCTTTCTCACCCCTCCCCGTCCCCCAAATGAATAAAATTCTCTACACCTCTTATTTCAGTAAGTCCAGTTGATTTCACTTTTGAAGGAGCATTAAGTCCAGCATCTTCTCGCCGTCCCTGCTCTCACCTGGTTCAGGTTCCCATAGGTCCTCCAGCAGTTAGGTTGGCCATTCCTCGGGGTGCACGTCTGATCTTCACATACAGATATGGCAAATCTCTGTCAACTGAGCTAAGCTGTTTTACTTGTGGAAGCATAGTTTTTGCTCTTTATTTCCATTCACAAGGGAATCAAGGGCTGCCAGAGTAAGGGCTGCCAGCCTGAGGAGGGGATCTGTGCTGGGGCTAGAGGTTTGAGTATATTTATTGCTTGGCTTCCGTGGAGCTGGTACCGTCCCTAAATCCTGTGCTTACCCAGGACTGACTCAGCAGGAGAGAGAGAGAGAGGTGAGATTGGGGAGCAGACCTTCAGGAAATCGAGGGCCTCCGTGCTGTGTTGGCACATAGGGGTCCAGCAAGTCAGATGGAGATGGAAGACTGGGCAGGGCGCCCTGCTCTCTGCACATGGGACATCCCTGCAGCCACCGTGCCTCCCCGAGATGGGGAGCTCCTGACAGGTGGCCCCCTCACACCACGCTTTCCTGCAGCATATCGACAAAGTCTTCAAACATAAGGACCTGCAGCAGCAGCTGGTGGATGCCAAGCTCCAGCAGGCCCAGGAGATGCTGAAGGAGGCAGAGGAGAGACACCAGCGGGAGAAGGACTTTGTGAGGCTCGGGTCCTGGGCAGCAGGGGGTAGGGTGAGAGGAGGCGGGTTGGGTTCTGGCTCTGCTCATATTTGAGTCTCTGTGGGAGAGGTTGCTGCCCAGCCAGACAGGGCACTGCTTCTTCAGAAACCAGTCTGAGAGCAGGATGCCTCAGTGGGTTCTTGTGGTTGTGGCTAAAAAAGTCTGAACCCCTGGGGTCGTCTGACGGGGTCTGGGTGCCTGTCTTGGAAATAGCTCCTCAAAGAGGCAGTGGAGTCACAGCGGATGTGTGAGCTGATGAAGCAGCAGGAGACCCACCTGAAGCAGCAGGTGAGACCATGAAAACTGGCCTCCCTCCAAAGTCCCATCACTGTGCTGTGACCTGGGGGGAGGGAAGTGGGACCCTCATTCTAGGTCTGGCTCTGCCCTGACTGCTTTGTGACCTTGGCTGAGCCTTTGCTGTCTGGACCTGTCCAGCACCCATGTGGTGATGACCAGGTAGCTAGGTGAGCTTGAAGAACTTGGCTCCTAGCACGGTTGTTTTTAATTACATAAATTATACTTGATTCCTGAAGAGAATTTTGAAAATAAATACAAAAGCAAAATATATGCCACGCTAAATTCTTTTGAGAGTTAGCGTTGTAGATTATGTTCTTTCAGGTACTGTTTTTGTTTTGTTTTGAAAAAAAATAGTATCTCAGTAACATTGTTAGGTCAAAGGGCCAAGGTTGGGTCTAAGTATTCTGACTAGAGTTGCCTCCAGAGAAGCCCAGTCTCACCTGTGGGCTTCTGTCTCACCTAGCTTGCCCTATACACAGAGAAGTTTGAAGAGTTCCAGAACACTCTTTCCAAAAGCAGCGAGGTGTTCACTACGTTCAAACAGGAGATGGAAAAGGTAACATGGTCCAGGCCAGGTGTGGCTATTGGGAACAGGCTGCTTCATTCAGAGTTGAACACTGGGCCTGTCTTCAGGAAGCCCCGGCCCTGATGTGCCTTGTGGAGCTGCTGCCAATAACAGTGTGATTGACACCAAGGGTGGGGTCATTAGAGGAGATGTCCCACATGTCCTGGAGAAGGGGCAGTGTTGTCATTTCTTGTTATTGGTGGTGGGCATTTAACTTGGGGAGACTTCTGCGGTGGCACCAAGGCATCAGCTGCACCTTGTGATGCACTTGGGACTATTCCACACCTTGGAGGTGCCGGCGCACAGGCAGGCCAGCCCCCTGACGATTTCCTTCTATCTGTCACATGACCCAGATGACTAAGAAGATCAAGAAGCTAGAGAAAGAAACCACCATGTACCGGTCCCGGTGGGAGAGCAGCAACAAGGCCCTGCTTGAGATGGCTGAGGAGGTGGGCCGAGTGTGGACTGCAGCCTGGGGGTGGGAGGGCACTATGGGTAAAGTTACTGAGATCTGGCCTTTACCGTATGTTCTACAAGTAAGTGATGCAGCTGGCACGAGGTAGAGCTGGTACTTGCACCTATGTCTGTCCAAGTCCAGAGGAACTGACAGCTACCTCCCCGGGGAAGTGGTGAGCCCAGGGGTAGATCTGCAGTGGGAGCAAAGGCAGGAAATGGAAGAAAGGAATTAAGAAGTGGAAAAAACAAGGGGTGACGATGATGTGCATGGTTTGCCTGCAGAGCAGTAATAGTGATAGTTTGCCTGCAGAGCAGTTCAGGTAATTGGTGATTTCATGGCTTGAGATATAGGCGAGAAAGGGAACTAACACTGATTGAGCAGCAGCTGCCTGTCAGACCCTGCTGAGTAAACATTAAGATATGACAGTCCCTGACCCTTCCCTTCGGTGAGGTCGGTGTTGGAAGTCATTTTTACAGATAAGGAAATAGACTCAAAAACCAAGTGTCTTGTCAAGGCCGTGTGGTTGATAAATGGAGGAGTTCCTTGTCTGACCTCCAGGCCATACCGCTTTTCTGTATTATATGAGTCACAGCATAAACCGAGGCTGTTTACTAGGAAAGGGGTCAGCCTTTGACTCTGGTCTGCTCCCAGGCTTATTAAACCGGGAGTGTTTTCTTCCAGGTGGTAGTGTTGGATGGGAGGTTGATGGGATGGCACTGAGGGACCCATTTTCTCTCACCAGAAAACACTCCGGGACAAGGAGCTGGAGGGCCTGCAGGTAAAAATCCAGCGGCTGGAGAAGCTGTGCCGGGCATTGCAGACAGAGCGCAACGACCTGAACAAGAGGGTACAGGACCTGAGCGCGAGTGGCCAGGGTGCCCTCACTGACAGCGGCCCTGAACAAAGGCCAGAGGTTGCCACTGCCACCAAGGAGCAGGGTGGCGAGGGGCTCATGGCCCAAGCACCGAGCTCCCCAAGGGCCACAGAAGCTACTTGCTGCCCTGGAGCACAGAGCACAGAAGCATCAGGCCAAACAGGGCCGTGGGAGGCCAGCCCCACCACCGCCTAGAGCCCAGCACTTCGTGCGTGCTGGGAAGGGAGCAGGCAGCCTGGCGAGACCTGGCCCACACAAGGCTCCCACCTCAAAGCAGTCCAGTGCCAGGCCAAGTGCTCTGGTCTGGCTGGCATTTGACACTTTGCAATTTTGGATTTTGTGGGTCAGTTTGACGTTATGTATGGCATATGTGCAAGACCTCATACATTTATATTTGTAAGTGTACAGTGGGCTTGCATTGGGGGTGGGGTGTGTAGACAGGTTGGTGGCTCTTCTGTGAACTGAAGAGTCTTAAAAGAGGAGCTGTCATCTGTGGCTACCATCATGGTGAGCTGACAGGACAAGTGACTGGAGCATTTCTTCTACACGGTTGGAGGCTCAGGCCCCTCCCAGCCCCTTGGGGCTTGTGACAAGTGACACACCCAGGCCTTGACTGTTTCTGTTGTGAGCAGGGCTCTCGTGGCTATCCTGGAGATGCCTTTACTCCTCTGGACCTGGAAAAGGTGTCCCGAGGCAGAGCGTTGGCGGGCACCCGGAGCTGGTGATCAGACTGCTTTCCTGCTGAGACGAGGGACCTGGAGAATGTTTCTGGGATGATGCCGGTAGGGGCCCCGTGGGCACTGCTTTCCTGCCCTCTGGTGGTGCTCGGACCAGGCCGGTGATGCTTCTCAGTAGCCTTACTCACAGGTGCCTCTTCAGCCTGCACAAATGATTGATAAGAGAGCACCCAGAGGATTCTTTCTGAAGGTTTTTTTTGCACATGACAGTGTATCGAGGATCTGCTGAGGAGGGGGAGGGGTGCTGAGCCATGGGCCTGGGTTCCTAACCTCCAGTGTCTCAACACCCACCTGGCTTCTTTGCCAAGTTGGTGCTGAGGTGTCCTATTTGGTGAGACCAGATTCCTTGAGAGAAAGGAAAGGGCTTCTGATAGCTTTACCACAAGCTTGCCTAAATCCTGGGAGGCTCTTCTGATTCCCATCCCCTCTCTCCATGCAGCGGCTGCTGGGCCCCCAGGCCCAGCTGCCCGCTTGGCTTTATGGGCCCATTTCTGCACCACACCCCTCCACCACCAACACCATCAGATGTGCAATCCTTGAGATTTACCCTGGTTCCATTTGCTGGCACCTCCTTGTCCAGCAAATAAGAGCTGAGGCGTGTCCTCCTTGGGATTCCACACCCTCCATTGTGGGAGCCCACAGGCCAGCCCCCAGCTGTTGTCCAACGGGTAGGGAATGAGAATGAGACTCCATGCTCGGTTGAGCCCCAGAATCCACAAAACAGCTGCCAACATTTTTGTTTGTTGCTACTTTAAACTGAAAGTTCTGCTGGTTGCTAACCTGCCAAAGTGTTAGCCAATTTTTTTGTTTTGTTTTTACCAAGCAGTCTTCGGGGACAACAGAGTGAGTCTTTGATCAGGAAGCAGGGCTCTGGACCCAATGCCCCATCTCCAGCTGGGCATCTGCTTCTCCCTGGATTTCCTTGAAGCCAGTCCGTTGTCCACAGCCCTTCATCTTCCACAGCTAGCCCACTCAGCCCTTAACTTAATCCCTCAGATACATAGGTTCGTGAGGAACATTTAGTTTTCCTGAATCGTCTTATGGCTTAGACCAGAAATGCTGACTGAGGGGACACCGATTGCCCTTCTGCACCCATGGTAGATATCACTAACCTGCTTCAGGGTGTTTCCTGCTAATCCCCATAGGTTCTCATTTGCGTCAAGATCCCCCAGCAGCCAGTATGAGTGTTGAGACCTATTTACCCTCCCTGGCTGAAATACTACTCCTGTGGAGAAGTCTTTCCCAAGATCTTTTTCTTCCCCTCTTTGAAGTCCCTGTGTTTGGAATTGTCCCCTAACCTGCCTCTTTCTGCTCCAGGAAGGCCTTCTCCCTCCCCCAGCCCCTGTGCCCAGGCTGAGGTGCAAGAGCTGCCAACCCCACATGGGATTTACTGGGCTGAGGAGGTGCAGGGAGGAGACAGGGCATCTACTTGCCCGCCTTGAAGAGATGAAAGGCCTCAGGTGGCCCATAATTAATTGCCTGCCTCACTTCAGCTACCTCTTTAAAGCCTGGGGGAGGGGTTGGGTCTATTGGAGCCCAGTGTGTTGTAGGAGACCACAGCTGGACGATGTCACAGCAGCCCAGTGAGACCAGGTCTGACTTCTGTGGAACCACAGTGGGCAGGTGGCCCCACCCAGGCTTCCGGGTCAGGAATGTGGGCCTCAGGCAGGCAGACCTCTCTGCTCTCAGCTCCAGCTATTTCTAGGCATTCAGGCCATAGGTGGTGGTCCCTTTCTTTCTCTTTCTGTGTATTGACCAAATCTCACCAATCACTACAGCTGCTCTGCTTGCTCTGCTTTCCAAAGTTAGCCCAGGTGCCTGGGTAGTGCACACGGGTCTGGGCCAGATGCAAGGGGGTGGCCTCTCCATGAATGAAGGCCAGTGCCTTCCTTCCCTGGGCAGGTCCCATGCATGTGACCTCAGTTTTAGGACCAAGAGCTGTTCTGTGTAGGGTTTGTTGCTAGCTTTTCCTCCAGGGAACCATAGCACATGAGGCTCACAGCTCAGAGCTCCTGGCTCTGCTAACAGCAGCCTGTGTTCAGGACCTTGTCCAGCTGAGAGCTCCCTGTACACCAGATTCTGAGAGGTGTCAGCAGCACTTTTTTTTTTCTCCATGAGGTTTTGGACCATGGGCTGAGCTCAGGCACTTTGTGTACGAGAATGTTATTTCTGTAAAGATGGTGGTTATTTCCCCACCCCCTCCACCCTTTCATGGTGGCCCTGCTGTGGGCTGACCAAGAGGTGGGTGGGGCTGCCCTGGTGTCTACTGGGGGAGGGTCAAGGCCTGCTGAGCTGACTCTCCAGCTGCTTCTCCAGCCCTCCTGCCTTGCACAGCACAGAGGTGGCCACCCCAGGGACAGCCAGGCACCTGCCTGCCCCTTGACCCCTGCCCAGGAGGCTGCCTTCTGTCCCCATAACTTGCTTCCCTAATATCCTCCTGGCCGCCCAGACTTGTTTGAAGCTGTGCTGACAGCTTTTTTTCTCCTTTTGGTATTCACAACAGCCAGGGATTTGATTTTGATGTATTTTAAACCACGTTAAATAAAGAGTCTGTTGCCTTACTCACCTCTGTCTGACTTGTGTGATCATTTGGTGCTTCTGGATCCTTCCAGTCCCCTCCATGCTCATGTGCTCAGCCTTGCAGACACACCATCGCTGGCATCAGGACCTGTGCAGAGTTGCTGTGGCTGTGCCCTGGCATCCTGCATCTCACCGCACGCCCTCGCACTGCCCAGCAGTCACCACGGGTTCAGGACACGAGCAAGTCAACTTGAGCTGCCTGAGTGGAGCCCTTGGCAAAGTGGGCATGAGTTTCGTCTAAATGAGAACCACGGTGATTTTTTTCACTCAATCAAAAATTGTCCCTGCCTTCAGGTCTCAGGCTAGTGAGGGAAACAGGTTTGTAGAACACAGGTGGGTGGTGATGGCAGAGCACAGAGGAGGCCCTGCCCTACGCCAGCGAGGGGAGAGGGCTGGGTACCAGGAAGGGCCTTCTGTCCCAGGTGGTAGGTAGAAATGTGGCAATTCCACTTAGAAATTGAAAGTGGTTCACCTGGGGATGCTGATGCACAGGATGGGGTGGGAGAGGATGAGCCTTTGGGTTAAGGGATTTGGGCTTGACCCAGAGGGCAGGGGGAACTGCTGAGGATGTTTGAACAGGAAATGGGTAAAGTCATGAGGAAAGTGGACGAAAGGCAGGGAGATGAGAGCCAGGCATAGGTCGGTGGAGTCCCAGATTAAGACAGATGGGCACTCAATGATGGCTGTTTGGGACTGTCTGCCATGGGCAGCCTCCTTTGACCCTGGTCCACCCAAGGGAATGCCCAGGGATCTCCAGGTTCCCGTGATTTTGTGCATTCCTTTAGAGGACCAGATGTCCCATGTACTTCTTCAGAATGGCTGGTTTCTTGCAGTCCTGTTCTCCTGCCTTGAAGCCTGGGTGTTGGAGCTGCGGTTCCTGTATAGAGACATCTTACTGGTGGCCTCGCCCAGCATCCTGTTCTCTGTGGGACCTGAGTTGATCTGGCACAAAAGATGGTACGGCAATGTCCAGCAAATGGTGTAGGTAGCCAAGGTGCCCTTCCCTGCAGGCCCCCACACGTAGTGCCCACACACTGGCTATAACAGTCCATCCCAGCAGAGCCTCCACCGCTTCTGGCCAGGGTCCTAACGAAGGACCAATGTTTTTCTGTACTGCCACATTGGTTCCAATAAAGGATCTTCTGGAAGGGGTAGGGGATGCAGCACCAACTTGGAGCTCCCAAGCAAAGCGGCTCTGAAATAGCTTCAGGCTGCTGGCCCCCAAGGGAAGCAATTGAGGATGGGAACCTCACAGATGATCCTGGCTCCTCTACCACCTTGCTGGGGGAACAGTGGTGCCACCTTCTAGCAGCTCTGGTAGGGAGGAGAGGGGGCTTCCTTTTGTCCTCCCTGCAGTGCAGTCCCCTCCTTCCAACCTCTTAGTTATTGAAAAAGTCCTGAATGAACGTCTCCCCTTCTGGAGTGTCCTGGGGGCTGGAAGCACCTGGGAAGAAGTCCTGAGCAGGAGCCTGAGGAAGCAGTGTCCATCCATCCCCACCTTGGCCAGAGGCCCAGGCCTAGGGAAGCAGCTTCCTCCCAGTGGGATGAGAAGGTGGCAGGTGGCTGTGCACGCTGCCCGGGACAGTTACTTGAGATGGCTGGGAAGCCTGGCCAAGGATGAGCCTCTCTCCTATGGCATCAGATGCTGCTCTGGGGACCTGAGCCAGCAGCCTCTGCCAGGTCTTTAAATAGCTACCCCACTGATAGGCCTCCAGCAGCATAGCAGTGCTCAGCTTCTGATGATCAGGTTTCCCTCCTGGGCTCTGGAGTTAGGCACTAGGGAATCTCACGGTCTTCCCTCAACCTGGTGCTGCTGCTCCTGTCGCGCAGGCCTGGGAGTGTGGAGGGGGTAAAATGATGGGACTGTCACTTCACCAGAAAATACACCACTTACTATTTAGGAGAGTGATATTGCCCTCAAAAGACTGACATATTGTTGAATGACAGCCAGAGCCTTGGAGAAGAAAATTAAAAACAAATCAGGCTCTCCCGGGTGTGGGCAGGTCTGCTCAGTCTCAGCGATTTAGCTCTTCGAGCTCCCCCCAGAGGGGCTCCAAACCCACCCCTTTGAGGTGACAGAGGCTTTCTGCACCTCCCCGCTTTGGGCAAATTTCCTGACCTCTCTGGCTTTCAGGGAAGCAACCCAGGGTAGGAAACTTTTAGTAAAATGGGGGTGATGATGGCATCTTCCTTCAGAGTTGTTATGAGAATTAAATGTACATAAAGCGCTTAATAAGGGAACTGGAACTCAGCAGATGGTTGCTCTCTCTCTCTCTCTCTCTCTCATTCTGGCAAAGCCACCACCATTTTCTAAGGGACTGTAGCTTCTCTCCAAAACTGATAGGAAAGTGAAAATGTTTTTAGATTGCCATCACACAACAATAGGGTCGCCTTAGTTGAGGTGGAGAGATAAAGTCGGGAGAGAGGAGAAACAGCTTAAGAAACGTGGGGATACTCCTCCCCTCTTACTCCATCCCGAGCTCTAAGGAAGGTCACTTTCCCTTTAAATGCAAATTACTTCCCGCCCGTTTAGCTTCACCAGGTCCTGGTTCCCGGGAGGAGAGAGCGGACGGCTAGAGGAACCTGCACCGAAGCCTCGCTCCAGACTCCGAGCCTCCAGGTCAGTTGCCCCCTGAGGGGGTGGGAGCGGGGGCAGAGGCAGGATGACGCGGGTCTGACGCTCCTTTTCCGATTCAGGCTCCCGAGTTGAGCAATCCATTTGGCACATGGCTTCGGAGCCCGAGTGTGGAAAATAGATCCTGGGTGACCCCCAGCCGCTCATGGGAGCTGGGGCACCTGCTCTAGTTTCCCTATATCAAGTCCCTAATTGGATCAAGCTGCTGTAGGGAGGGGCAGATGATGCGGCTCATGTCACCCCTCCACCACACCCCTAGATCCATTCAGTGCCAACCAGCCAGCCAGGTGCCAGTTTAAATGCCTATCCCCACCACCACCACCATTCCAGAGTGCAGGGTCAGGCCATGTGGCGCCAGCCTGGAGCAATCAGCTCAAAAAAACCCTGTGCTCCCAGCCTCCCAGAGAGTAGGACACCAGCCTTAGGGGGCAGGGCTGGACTGGAGGCCAGCCGGGCAGTGCCAGCCACAGGCTCAGCCATTGTGAGAGGCCAAGGCAGCCAGCTGCAGACCACCCGCCCCACCCTGGCAGCAGCTGAGGCTGACAGTTTGTGAGTGGAGCAGGGACCTTCTGACCTGGAAGGGAAGGTTGAAGCTGCTGGAAGCATGTCCCAGGCAAGTTCTGGAAGTCGCCTGGTGTTTGTGGTTGGGGATGGGGGAGGAGGGATGCCAGTGTTTAAGTGGGAGAAAACCCACAACAAGCTCTGCCCCGTGTGCCAGAGCTTCTTCTACTATTACTCATCCCCTGGTGGTTACTGCTTGACCCTGGGGCCTCCCAGGCGCCCCCACCCAGAACTTAGTCACTTCCCATACTGACAGTTTCTCAGTGTCTGCCTAGCGGAAGAGGGAGTTGATAAATAGAAGGGGCCTAGTAAGACACCCCTAATCCTCAGCTGGGCTCTTGCCAGCTTGAATCCACCCTGTCTCCCCCTACATTTCCTCTGCTAGCCCTGCCCCCTCGGCCACCCAGGGGACAGGAAATCCCAACAGCAGCAGCAGGATAATAGTGTCTGGCCCAGCCCTTTCAGGCAGGACCTAGGTTTTCCCACTAAGGCTAGAGGGCAGGAGGGGACTTGGGACGGGCTGGGGAAGTCCCTTCAAATGCACATCCATGACCCCAGTAGCAGGTGCTGGCATCTGGCCCTGTCTCCACTGTACCAATGAGGGCATAGAGGCCCTGACAGTTGGAGGGGACAGTTAGAAAGTCCCAGGGCCCTTACTCTGCAGCTCTCAGGGATTGCTAGGTGAAGGGTTGAGTTGGCCCCTGTCTCAATGGGGCTGCCTCCCTCTTAGCCAGCACCCAATGGATGACAAGAAGAAGAAGAGGAGCCCCAAGCCTTGCCTGACCCAACCAGCCCAGGCCCCAGGCACATTACGCAGGGTCCCTGTGCCCACCAGCCACAGTGGCTCCTTGGCCCTGGGACTCCCTCACCTGCCATCTCCCAAGCAGCGGGCCAAATTCAAGAGGTAAGTACAGAAGGGAAGCACAGAAGGGAGGGAGGGACCCCAGCTCCAAGCTAAGCCCTGTGGGGAGGAAGACAAGGAGGGACTCCAGTGTTCAATTATTTAGCAATAATTGATGCCTTCCCTTGGCTGGCCCCAGCTGGAAGCATGTCCCAGGGAACTTCTCAGAGATGATCAGACCCAGTCCCTGCCCTAAAGTATGTGGGGAGAGGGCCAGGTGGATCATTGGGGTCACATATAGTATGATAATACATTTCAGAGAAAGGAGAGAGTCAGAGAAGGCTATTGGGCATATGGGAGACGAGAGACATTCCAGACTGAGAGGCCCACCTGGCACAAGTATGGAAGAAAGAGACTACCTAGGAGGTTCAGAGAACCACAGGTGGTTTGGTGACCCTGGAGTATCAAGGGCCAGGAGAGGGGGAGAGGAAGCCAGGGTGTACAATTTGAATTCTCTGCATAAATTTTTTTTTTTTTTAATGATTAGGAATTTGCATCCTACCCTATAAGGTGCCCATGTTTGTTTCCCACTAAAGACAATGTGTTTTTTTCTCCCATTCTTTCCAAATAAAATCACTCTGTTTCCCTGTGGCTTTGCACCCCGCCTGCCTGAGAGGCCTGTTTGGGGATAGTCAGAAGTAGGGTATAGCTGAAGCTCAGGGCTGGGGTGGAAGTAGTAGGAAATGCAACTGGAGAGGTTGGGGCCACACTGGAAGGGCCTTCGAGATTATCCTGAGGGCAGTGGAGAAGTCAAAACAGTGTTTAAATAGAAAAGGAGCAGGAAGATATTTTTGGAGGGGTAAAATAGGATATAGGAGCCCTGGTGGCACGATGGTTAAGTGCTCAGTTGCTATCCAAAACGTCAATAGTTCAAATCCACCACTGGCTCTGTGGGGGAAAAGACCTGGTGATCTGCCTTGGAAACCCTATGGGGCAGTTCTACTCTGTCCTGTAGGGTCACCACGAGTTGGAACTGACTCAGCACACAATAGCAACAAAACAGGATATAATTAGGCAGCACATCAGTGTGCGCCTCATTACTGCCAAGTGTTCCAGCTGTATGCTAAGCTTTTCCCATTACATGGCACACTTAAAACTTAAAACATGGCAGCACACTTTGGGGATAAAACATACCTGGTAACCAGTTGTCGAGAACAAAGGGGCAGAGGTGAGAAGGAAATAAATGGCCCTTGGGGAAAGGGACCTTTGCAATGAACATATTTATCTATGAGGAGGAGAAAACAGAGGCAGTGATTGTTCGACTACTACATGGATCTCAGATTAAATCCCAAAAATTATATTTTAGAGGTAATAATCTACTTGTAGGAGTCCCTGGGTGGCACAATTGGTTAAATGCTCGACTGCTAACCTAAAGGTTGGTGGTTGGAACCCACCCAGAGGCACATCAGAAGACAGACCTGGTGATCTGCTTCTGAAAGGTCACAGCCTTGAGAACCCTGTGGAGCAGTTCTATTCTGCACACATGGGGTCGCTATGAGTTGGAATCTCCTCAATCACAACTAACAACAGCAAAATGGTCCTTGTGGTAATAAGGTGGTACGTATCCCTATGGAACAAATTCACTGAGGACAGGGAGGACAAGTGACTCCCCCAGGGTCACAGGAGGAGTACGATGAGGGGCTCAGACAGGAATCCAATAATAGCATCCTTCCAGACATGCCTCTGGCTGTGTGTCATTGGCAGAAAGAGACTTCTTTTGACTTCTTACCTTCCCCTCTTCTTCCCTCCACCAAATCTGGCCAGTGTGGGGCCAGAACAAACATCCACTGATGTTGGTATGGCAGATGCATTAGTGCATATAGACAGATGGCACAAAAGACCTAGGGGTGCCTGGCTGCCCCCAGCCTGTGACCATAGTCATGCCCACCCCACCCAGGGTAGGCAAGGAGAAATGCCGCCCAGTGCTGGCCGGAGGTGGGGGTGGCTCGGCAGGCACCCCCCTGCAGCACTCTTTCCTGACTGAGGTGACCGACGTCTATGAGATGGAGGGGGGACTGCTGAACCTGCTGAATGATTTTCACTCCGGCCGGCTGCAAGCCTTTGGTGAGTCCTGGGGACTGAGCCTAGACGGTATGTGAGTGGGGCTGGAGGGGCTGGTCTGTGAGGCGTGGCTGGGGCCAGGGTGCCAAGCTTGCTCCCAGGGCTCAGACAAGGGCTGTCCAGGGAAGGAATGCTCCTTTGAGCAGCTGGAGCACGTGCGGGAGATGCAGGAGAAGCTGGCCCGGCTGCACTTCAGCCTGGATGTGTGTGGGGAGGAGGAAGAAGAGGAGGAAGAGGATGGAGTCACTGAGGGGCTGCCTGAGGAGCAGAAGAAGACCATGGCTGACCGAAACCTGGACCAGCTGCTTAGCAATGTGGGTCAGGGCTGGGTGCTTCGGTTCCTGGGGGACCAGGGGGGAGGAGAGGCGCATGCTCCCAAGGCAACTCCTGGCCCCCGGGTGAAAAGGTGGGGGTGCATGGATCCAACAGCTGCGGGGCCCTCAATGCCCACCAGATTATGGCCTCCAGAGCATCTGCTGTTTGACCTGGTGCCCCTCTTTTTTGTTTTTTTTTTTAATTGTTATGCTGTAAGTGGAAGTTTACAATTCAATTTAGTCTCTCCTACAAAAATTTATACATAGTTTTGTAACCCTAGTTGCTTTCCACCCCGGATTTCCCATGTCCATTCATCCAGCTCCTGATCCTCTCTGCCTTCTCATCTTGCCTCCGGACAGAAGCTGCCCATTTAGTCTCATGTATCTACTTGATCACACTCTTCACGAGTATCATTTTATGTCCCACAGTCCAGTCTAATCTTTGTCTGCAGAGTTGCCTGGTGCCCCTCTTGACAGAAACCTCCCTTTCTCTCTGTTGACAGCTGGAAGATCTTAGCAATTCCATGTATCCTTTCCAATGGAGCTGGCTGTGTGTGTGTGTGTGTGTGTGTGTGTGTGTGTGTGTGTGTGTCCGTGTGTGTGTGTGTGTGTGTCCGTGTGTGTGTGTGTGTGTGTGTGTCCGTCCCGGACATGGGGTCAGTTTCCTCCTCCCTGCCATTCCCTCAAGAGTACTCACATACAACCAACATCCCCACCCCTTTTAGTCCTACTGAGTCAGAATTAGGCACAAACTGCCCAGGTAGAGGAGTGCAGAAGGAATTTCCCAAGTATTAGAAATAAGATGGTTGCAGGGAATATGTTTTACCCACTGATCAAAATCTCTGCAAGTTCTTTAGCTGACATCAATCCATGGCAAGGCTTATCTGTTGCCCTCAGCACTGAACAATTATTTTGACTAATTTTAGACTACCTCCCCATCTAGTCCTCAGTTGGAAATTTTGCAAGCGCGCGCACACACACACAGACACACACACACATCAGCCACAGTGTGGCTCACAGGTCCACCTGCTCATTTGACCGGGAGAAGATATGATCTGGATCAAGAGAAGAGTGAACGCAACGTAGCAAGGACACTGCAGGTGGAGACTGCAGCCTCAGACCGTGGAGGCCCCAGACCCCGCCCCGCTCCCTTGAAATGCTGGGGAAGCTAAGCCTGTGCAGAATGGGAAAATGGGGACAGGAGGGACGACTGAGGTCCAAGGCGTCACAATCCTTGACTGGCACAGACAGAAGTTGCACCTGGCTGAAAACACCGAGCCTGAGGAGCAGTCAGCTGTGTAGGCGTGGGACCCGGGCACAGACTGCCCCTTTTCATTCCCTTCAAACTGTGACTTTTCACGGGACTCGGGCGGGTATTCAGCGGCCCCCCAGGTGCTATGGGGAGGGGGGCACTGAATGGAATTAAACTCGAAAGAAAGAGGCTGTGTGTCCTCTCTCCCCTCATTACGCCTTTGCTCGGCGGCGGCAATGGCCCCGGCCTCCGGGAGACGCCCCTCTGTAACCCACTTTTGGTTGGGAAGTCCCGCTCACGTAGGGCTGGAATCCCCGGTGCGGCTCTGTGGGTGGAACTCGGGAAAGAGGACAAGTGAGGCAGGGGTAAGCCTGTCACGAAGACGCGTTTAGCCGCAGGAGGAGGACGGTTGCCGTGGAGACAGCGGGGGCGGGGCCCTCACTGGCTAAGGAGCGGCGCGGGCTAATGACGCACTGCGCAGGGGCTTGGCAGGCCGCTGTATCGTTTGCGCTGGGATGGAGCCTGAACAGTTGTTTCGGAAGGTGTCGGCTCTGCAGGTGCTGTGCGGGGCGGGGAGGGGAAGGTGCACCTGATTTCCCCTCAGGAGATTCCCAGACTGGGACCTTCGAGCGAGATGGGGCTATCACGTTCAGTCCCCTACCCGCGTGCCAACCTCTGGAGATGGCGACTCACCCCCTACAGCCCCGAAAAATGCTGGGATCCTCGGACTTCCCCACGCGCCCCCCTACTCCCACCACAGCTCTTGCTGGGATCAGGGAAATGGCGGGAAGGGGCTTAAAGCGAAGTGGGGATCCAGGCCCGCATCCTCCCTTGAGCCTCCACTCACAGTGTCACCTATCCTTTCCCTGGGGCCCTGCCCTCTCTTGCAACGACCGGGATGACTTCTCCAGGAGAAAGCCCAAGATGCCCATTCTCTTGCAGTAGTAAAGGTCTTCTTTCCCCCTCACTCTCCACACCAGGCCTGTGTCAGGGGCTTCTTGGTCCGACGCCAGTTCCAGAGTCTGCGAGCTGAATATGAGGCTACTGTACGGGAGATCGAGGGTGACCAGGGCATGGTGCAGTGGACTGAGGGCTGGATTCCCAGGCCTCAGTTTCTCCCAGAGGTAGTACACACTCCAGGGGGAGAAAGGAGAAGGAGGAAGGCCCTGGGTAGGGGGATCAAGGGAATAGTGGAACCCACCCTTTCTGCTTTCTCCTCCTGGGTGTAACCCACCTTTCCTACTTTAACCTTCTGGAAGAGGCAGCAGACTCACTGCCTCACACCCCAATCCTTAATCCTTACCAACTTGTCTGCTGGATGGAGGGGTTTAGCTCTGGGGCTCTCATAACTCTGATTTCTCAGAAGGTAAAATCCCATCGGACCTGGAAAGCAGGAGAGAGGGTGACAAATCCAGAGAAGGAACTAGGGAGCCACTTTCCATGTAAAGAGCCTGAGGAGATGGTGCTGAAGAAGTCAGGAGAGAGCTCAGCAAACCCAGGAAGTCTTCCCTGCCGAGAAGACAACCCCCTGCTTCAGGATGAGCAGAGCAGGAAAACCAGCCATGGGGAAACCAGAGACTCATCAAGGACGGGGAACCCAGGTGCCTCTCTGCCTAGATTAGGGCAAACCTTGACCCTCTTTGGGCCCCAGCTTCCCCATCTGAAAAGTGTAAGGCTTGTGGTAGATAAACTGCATCCCCTTCCTTCTTCCCTCTTCCTGTTGGAGGCAACACATGGATAGATGGGGGAGGGTGCCAGTGTTCTAAAGCTAGGACAGTGCCCAGTGTTTACTGCTCAAGGCTCTCTTCTTCCTTTCTTCTCTCTCTCCTTCACAGAAACCACAGATCCAGGACTGCCCTACAGCCAACTTGACCTCCAGGAGGTCCAGCACCTCCGCAGCCACTTGGCCATGGAATTGCTATGGCTGCAACAGGCCATCAGTAGCCGTAAGGAGGTGAGCACTAACTGAGAGCCCTTTCTGCACATTTAGAGCCAAAGGAAGGGGGACGGGGAGTCCTGCTGCCATGCCCAAGGAGGCATGCCTGGTACAATGTCTGTCCTCTCTCCCAACAGTACCTAATTCTCAAACAAACACTGAGCTCCCCAGAGGCAGGCCAGACCAGAGATGGGCCCACTGTGTGCCCAAACCACTTGGGACAGGCCTGTGAGAGGTCCCACACACAACCAAGCCCACCACTGGAGGACCATTCCTACAGAGACAGGACCACCAGAGAGCTAGACCATGTGGATGACTCCTGCTGGAGGGTCAAGTCACAATCCCACAAATCTCCAGAAAGTCTGGTTGTCACAGATAAAACCACTGTTGGGGCCAAGTACAGGGAACCAAGATACAGGAGAGCTGGTTCACAGCTGCCCACACCATCAGACAATCAGGCCACAGGAGACAAGCTCACCAAAGAGCCAGACCATGGAGAACAGGCCTCCAGAGGGACCTGTCTGAAGCTGATGAAATACCCTGAGGACCAGACTCCCAGAGGCCTCAAGCCCAGGGGCCATTGTTCTGAGAAGACCAGGACACAGCTGCTCATGCTTCCTGAGAAGCCGGCTATTAAGGACAAGTCTCCCAGAGGGCCAGACTACCAAGAGCCTGACTGCCAGAGTGCTGGAGCACAAGAATCAGGCCTCTCAGAGGACCGCATCATCTGGGATGGAAACCTGGCAGGGCCGGAGCATAGTGGCCTGGATCTCTGGAGAACAAAACCACCCAAGGGCCAGACCCCTAGTGATAGAACCTCCAAAGATGGACTCTCCAATGAGCCTAGCCATGAAGGATGGACAAACCAGAGGACTGAACTATGGAGATCAAGGCCATCTAAGTACCTGTCATCCACAAGATCAGACCATACAGGAGAGGACCACCAGCAGGGCAGGCCATGGAAAACAGGACCACCGGGCTAGACCCTGGGGAGCTAGGGAGGACCAGTTTCCAGGGGGATGCTATGAAAGTGTGATGAGTGAGACAGGCCTCATCCTGGCTGCTGGGCACCATCTCTCCCTCCTTCCCTGCCCCTGGCCATTGGTGAGGCCATGAGGAGGTGGAGCAAGAGCTGGCACCAGTATGGGGAGAGAAGGATACCGTTTCATGCTCTGCCTGTGGCTCAGTTCAAATATGAGAACAGGGAATTACCCGGGGAAAGTAAAGTGGGGGGCCTGATGGAGAATAAAGATTTTTCTTAGATTCTGAGCCTGGCTATTTTCATCTTCTGACTCACTCTGGGCCTTCCTGTTCACTTCCCACTGGCAGGAGGCATCTTCCCCAGAGCCTTCTGAGAGCAAGGGCCCAGGAGCAGACCTAGCCATCCTCCTTGGGGAAGGGCCCACAAAGACGATTTCCCCCCTGGGGTTGGGGGGTGCTCAGCCCTTGGCTATGGAGAAGCAGGGAGGCCCTGGAGCTGCCCCCCATTCCCCATATTGGAACTTCTGTGTTTAAGTGTGTCCTCTCACTGTTTGACTGTGCCCGAGTCCCAGGGTTTCCTACATATATAGTGATCATACCTGCTGTACTCTTATGAGGGCCTTGTGAAAATTAGAGCATCTGAGCTTCCAACTCATATCTGGCTTCCAGGTCCTACTGTTAACCTCTCAGCTGAGGTTGCTTACTATAATGTTAGAGCAGATTGGACGAGACCCTGAATGCAGATGGATGCTCCTGCTGCAGGCTCTCCCTGCCTTCCTGGGTGAGAGGGCAGGACTCGACCTCTGACTGGCACCGCTCCCAGCCCTGCCTTAGTTCCCTGGCAACAGCTCCACGTCTCTGTCTGAGGACACATGATGGCAGGCGGCAGTCCAGTAGCCAAGCAGGTAGTGGTGTACAAGAATGGGGATCCCAGCTGCTGGTGACTCAGCACTGCTTCCCCACCCCGGAGACCTTCCTCTGTGAGGTAACATCTGCCATGCAGGTCCCACTGACTGTGCGTGCCCTCTACAGACCCTGTCGTGGCCACTGTGTCACTGACATGGCAGAGTTGCAGAACAGAGGACAGTATGTGGCTGCTGGCTTCAAACGATTCTGTAAGCTCTAGTAAGCGGGCTGGGGCTGATCAGAGAGCCTAGGGAGGGAGGTAGTAGCATTTACCCAGTATTTAGTGTGTATCAGGCACTCTATTCATCTTCTCATGTAATATAACAACTCTATGAAGGTGGTGGTTTTATCCCCATTAGTTAGAAGGGGAAACAAGACAGCAAGGTTTAGTAACCTGCCTAAGAGTACACAGTAGTTGAGCCTTGGTTCAAATCAGTGTGTCTTCTATGGATGCTTATGCCCATCACATCCTGTGGGAAGGAGACCATAATCCTGCAGTCTGAGCTCCTTTTTCCAAAAGCTCTTCTTGATTGGATACGCTACCACCATCACCACTCTAAATCCATTCATCACTTCCTCCCGGCTGTGCTTAAGCTTCCCGTGCTCTCCTGTTACACAATCATGCCACATGGCAGGGTGGGGTTCTATCTTCCAAGGTGGGAGAAGAATTTGAGCATCTGAGTTTCCAATTCAAACCTGGTCTCCAGGGCCCACTCTTGGCTCTCAGCTGAGGTTGTTTACTATAATGCAAAAAGCAAGGGGTCAGGAGCTAGACAGACTTAGAATCTGGGCTGTCACTTCCTGTGTGACCTTGGGTAAGTCACTTCTCTGGGTCTCAGACAAAATGGAGATAAAACCACCTACCTCATGAATGAGGAAATTCTTGGGATATAGTGAATGCTTAATGAACTAGTTTCTCTTGATCCTTTGAACTTACAGTTTGTATCTGAGACTCTAGTCTGGATTCCCAGCCTGACCCAGGGCCTTAAGAAAGAAGGTTCAAGTGCCAGCATCTGTTTCTAGACTGGGATGACAGAGGCTATTCCAGTGGGGAGGGAGACCTGCTGAGCTGGATCCCAGCCCCACACTCTGGCAGCTGACAGCTTGACCTATAACTTGTCTTTCTTTCAGCTACTTAGCCTCTGGAGAGAAGGATCCGGGCAGGAAGAGCAGCAGACTGCCAGTGAGCCCTGGTAGTCCAGCCCTTCTGTCCTCCCACCACTCCTAGTATTGCCCCCAATTTGGTCTGGGAAGCCAGGGGCCCTGGGAACAGCAGGATCTGCCCAGTTCCATGGGGATACTCCCCATGCCCACTCTGGAACCGACTCTTATCCTTCCTGGGATACAGGAGTTTAAGACCCTATCCCTTGCCCCTTTCCCAGCCTTTTACTTTATCTCCAGGCTGTGGTCCCCAAAGAAAGAGGAAGCTGTGAGACTCAAGTAGGGGGTAGGTATACCTTATACCTAAGGAGGTAAAAGCGCCCTTTGGTGAAAGGTGTGACTGGTCCTCATCTCTCCTTGCCTCCCCCTACTCCTGGTCTAGTTCCTTTTCCCTTCACCCCACCCACCTGGACTGACCCACCCCAAACTGGAGGCCCCAGTTTATTCTGACCTTGGGGGCTGACTTGGGTTTCAGAGTCCTCGCATGACTCACCACCTGTGTGATGGGGCCCTTGGATGGTGTGCTGCTGTCAGGAAGCAGGGGTATAGATCTTGGTTTCAGTGAGACCAAGAAATTGGGGATGGGTTTGTTCCAGGAGCCCCTGGTCACTGGTGGGGATGTAAAGAGTCCAACAGGCTTGACGGGTGAAAATGGACCAATGCAATGGTCCTCAGACCATGCCACCCTTCTTACTCTCACACACTGGAAGGCCTGGGGACCCTCCCCTTTACCAGGCTGCTCTTTGTCCCAGTGTGTTCAGGAATGGGGACCTGTTAAGTCCCCCATTGAGCCTGAAGCTGTCCCAGGCTCCCAGGCAGGACCGGGAAACAGTGTTGAAACTTTACCGAGAAGGCCAAGTTGCAGAGCAAGGCTGTGTGCAAGTGAGTATGGGACTGGGGAGGTTGAAAAGCCCTTAGAGGGGACCTCCCCCAACTGGTTTGGTCTGTACCTGATGATGAAAAGGCAAAAGGAAAGCATGGTCCCCCAAACGGAACTGCCTCCTATGCCACAGGAGAAGCCCCTGTGGCCCAGCCCTCGGAGCCAGGGCAGAGCTTGGGTGACTGGCCCTGAGGCCCAGAGAGCCAGGTGCCAAGGCATCCTAGGAATAGCTGTACCCACCCCCTCACAGTCTGCTGAATATGATGAGGCATGCTGTCCACTGGCCCTTGTCCCATTCGCCTCTTTCTCCCCACCAGACTCTGCACCCTGGAGGGGCTCCCACTGTTGGAAGGGGAGGCTCTGGTGAGCGGCCATTACTTAGAGCTGCTGGTGTCCAGCCCCTCTCTACCCAGGGGCTGCTGGTATGTGTGTGTGAGGTGGCGGGGTATCAAGCTGCAACAGAGGAAGCCACCTTCTGGTCTGTGTGCTCTCAGACTGCACATCCTCCCCTGTCTACAAGCCTCTTCTTTTTCATTGCAGGCATCCCCTAGGCTGGAAGTCTAGGCCCCACAGGCAGGGGGCAGGTGATGCAGGGGCCATAGAGGTGGAAAGGAGGGCTAATTCGCTTACTTCTCCTCCAGCTCTGGCTCTGACTTTATCTCACTGCTTCCTCCTAATAATCTTGTGATGATTACTGCCCCATTTTCCAGAGGAGACTGAAGCTCAAAGTAGTGAAGTGATTCTTTCAGGAGACATGTTGAACGGCAGGAGCTAGACCAGAACTTAATCTGAGAGCCAGCTCATCCAGGTCTATGAAGGTCTTCAGAACTCTTGAGTTGCTGGACCTAATTTCTTCTTGCCACGCTGGATGCTGGGAGAGAGAACTGGCATATCTGGCAGAGCAGGGTCCAAGGAAACTTCTCAGCTCCCTATTCCATGCCAGGTCTGGGTACTCCCAAGGGAGAGCCAATGGGCCTTTCTGAGTGTCAGGCATCTGCTGCTATGTCCCTGGATAAGACAGCCTGACAGAAAGAGGGAGCAGGGAGGGAGGATGCAGGCCATCGAGATGGACAGCATCTCCTCTCCCAAGCTCCCTCAGGCATCAAGGCACTCTGAAGCCAGGACTGGGAAGAAAAGAAGAACAGCCAGCACCTGTGGCCTAATCCCAATGTTCCCTCTATAGGCCCATTGCCACAGGGCACAGGCAACCCAGCCCACTCCAAAGGAGCCAGGCCGAGTTGAGCCATCTACTTTCTATGCCAGACCCCAGGAGGCCACTCAGTCAAGAAGCAAACCTCCCCTTCTCTCATTTTCATCAGGTGAGGGGCTCCTGGAGCCCTGGCCCTTCTCAGTCACCCTCTGACAGAGACACAGGATGGTCCTTGTTGTTGTGTGGGAGGTCGTGGGCAGAATGCCCATGAAACGAGTTGGCCCTGACCTCAGGAGAACTGTCCCAGACTCCCTCATCTGCATATCAAGTCCCTTGTTCATCACAGGGACTTGGCATATTTAAAGCAGCACATGGAGACGGCAATGCTTAACCAAAAAAAAAAGAGGGATGGAGTTGGTGGGGTCAAAGGTCTGCCTCTTGACTTCCCTGCCATCCTCTGAGGTACTGAGGAGTACAGAGCAAGGCTCAGATGAGGGGAAGGGGCTGGTAGAGAAGGTCAAGGAAGGAATGCTGAGGGCTCCTCAGCCTGGGCATTAACCAATGTTGCCTCCCTCATCAGGAGTCAAGGGAGTATATGGGGCTCCCCACCGAAGGAGGGAGACAGCAGGGGCCCAAGAAGTAGCAGACGATGAAGACATCCAAACAGAGGAGCCCTTGGATCAGGTGGGCTGGGGCTGGGAGCAGTACGTTGGGACAGGAGTTCTGAGCTAAGAACATGCAGCCCTGAGTCCCCCTTGTGACTATGACCAGATCTCCTAACATCTTGGAGCCTGACTTTCTACCTTGTTAAATGAGGGGGCAGATTGATCCTGATTTCTAGTCTTCTCCTTTCCTGGAGCTCCCTGTTGAGGGTTGGACAGGGGATGCTAATGGCTCCATCCGTATGGCCCTCCACCTCCTCCAGAGAGCAGAACAGATGGTAGAAGAGGCCTTGTTCCTGGAAAATGACCAGCCTGGGGCTGGGGCAGCTATCTCGGCCTCAGTCCCTGCTCCACCATCTTGAGAGCCAGCAGCTCCAGCCAGGAATTGGGGACCATTACTCTGTAGCCACCTTTTTGTCCACAGCCTCCAGCACCTGTGCCCTCCGTGGGCTTACAGGGTAGGCGGTGGCCTCTTCAGCCCCTCCCCACTCTTCTTTTGCTCCTAAACCCACCACAGCTCTCTAAGCAGAGCAGCCCTCACCAGAAAGGCCATTTCCTTATGGGCTTCTCTGGCCAGAGAAGGAGTAGCAGACTGAGCTTAGGGGAGAGGCCACAAACTTGGGAGCGGGTCGGTCACAATAAAGGAATACTAACCTCAGTCTGTTTACTACAGATTTATTGCCAGGCACTGCACTGGGTGATGGAGTTGGGCAGTGCTACGGCTCACAGTTGTCCTACCATTTGAGAGGGGCTGGCAGTTGAGGAATCCCGCTCGTTTCATGGGTGGGACATGCAAGGCTAACCGACAGCTCATTTCCCCTACACCTGCCTCTTCTCTCCTCAGTTCCACCCCTTCAGTCAGCCAAGGCACTCTGACTGAGCCCTGGGGCCTCCTGTTTGCATTTCTGACTCAAAGACTACGGTGGTCCTCTCCACGCTGCTGGGGCTCTGTAGTTCACCAGTCCTGCCCTTGCAATGGACCAGGTCAGGCTATAGTAATGGGGGCTGGTCGGGGGGCCTGAGAGGACAGCAGGAAGGGAGCTGCTGCCAGTGAGTGTGAAGTCTCCTGTGCTAAATCCTAGTAGCTGAACAGCACCTGAAGGTTATAGAACCCTTTCACTCTGTTCTCTGATTGTGATCCATGAGGTAGCTATTACCACATAAGAGATGAAGAAGCTGAGGCTCAGACAGGGGAAGTGCTGGGTCTCTGCTCATGCCTGCATCTCATGGGCCAGGGGCTTCCTGGAGACAGCAGAGCTGGAGGGTGGGGTCTGCCCGCTCAGAGGGTAGTTGGTTGCCCCTAGGTCTTGCTCACTGAGCTTGTGATGCAGAGCGCAATTCCTGTCACGGTGAGCACCATGCCTGCGACTGCTCCTATGATAACAGGCAGAAATCAAAGCGCTGTGAGCCGAGCCATGCCAGTAGGAGCTGGTGCAGGGCTGGGGGAAGCGTTTGGGGGGTCTGGTCCCAACTCCTTCCCCAACCTCTGTCCCCAACCCAGACTGCCCAGGGGAAAAGAAATTCTGATGGCCACAAGGAAGCAGGAGAGACTGGACAGCCAGAGGAACAGGGCAGGATGGGGAAAGGCCTCTCCCCACCTGTCAGCCTTTCAATTAGCAGCACAGCTTCCTTAACCATTTGGGCTCTGGAAAAGAACTAATGTGGGTATATCAAAGCCCAAGTAGCTGCTTCCCACACTCCCAGTGGCCTGACTTACGTTTTCCACCAATCTCTTCTCCAAGTAACTTTCCAACAATCAGTGTGAAGACGATGGCCAGAGAGTTACAGATGGGCACAGCTAGGGTTAGATCTGGGTAGTCAGAATGAGAAGAATCACTGAGAAGCAAAAAATGTCTTTCTAGGCACAAAACACTTTGGTTTCATCATCAAGATGGCCTTTTAAGAGAGGGATCACGATCCTACTTTCCAGATAAGTCACAGCAAAGCTTAGGACTCAAACCCAGGTTTCCTGACACCAAATTCAGTGCTTCCTCAGGATTCCAACATGAAGACCTGATCTCGAGGTCTGGGACCATCATGTTTTGATGATGAGGATGAGGTCTTTGCAATCAGCTCCTCAGAGCTCAAGGACATCTGGGAGTGCATTAGGCCAGGAATTTTCAAGCTTTCTTTAAATGAAATTTTATGAGAAGCCCAAAATGTAAAAAAGATGAAAATGGAATGACTGTGGCTGAAGCTGGGGTGGCAGATCCGGAGGGTGGTCTCTCTCCTTGCCCTCTCATAGCCTCTGAGGGGTTCCCCAGAACTGCTTGGGGCCCAGACTCCCCTCAAGTCCCTAGGGGCCTGGGTAAGACTCCAGGGGAGGAAAAGCACTACAGGGGGACTTCTCATAGGAAAGTTCAAGAGCATAAAACTTTAAGTAGTATATGGCTTCAAATCCTCTGCACTGATATGTTATGGGATTACCAAAAAACCAAACCGATTGCCATCAAGTTCATTTTGACTCATAGCGACCCCCTATAGAACAAAGTAGAACTGCTCCATAGAGTTTCTAAGGAGCGCCTGGTGGATTTGAACTGCCAACCTTTTGGTTAGCAGCTGTAGCATTTAACCACTATGCCTCCAGTGTTTCCTGTTGTGGGGTTAGGCGAAATAAATTGCCCAAAATTTTGTAATCTCCTCTCTGAATGGAGATAGTCATGGCTGCTTCACAGGGTCATGACGGGAATTAAATAAAACGTGTAATACAACGGAATATAAGTCCTGATCCATACTACAACATGGATGAATCTTGAAAACATTATGCTAAGTGAAACATCAGCCACAAAAGGACAAATATTGTATGATCCCAATTATATGACATATCTACAATAGGCAAATATACAGAGACTAAAGTTTATCAGTGGTTACCAGTGGTGGAAAGGAGAGGAGAAGGGGGAATCACTGCTGAGGGGGCACTGAGCTTCTGTTAAGGGGACAGAAAAATTTGAAAATGGACAGTGATGATGGTTGTACAACATGATGAACATAATTAATGTTACTAAATTGTACATGTAAAAAATGTTGAAATGGCAAATGTTTTGTTATACATGTATTTACCACAATAAAAGAAAATAATGAAATGTGCAAAAATTAGCACAGTATCTATTGCAATGGAGTCCAGTCAACAAACCTTGGGCAAAAGGAAATTTATATGTATTGAGCTCTTCCTGTGTGCCTGGCACTCTGCTAGATGCTTCTCATACGTTACTAAATTTAATCCTCACATGCTATGAAGCAGGTCGTATAAAACTGAGATTCAAATAAGGGATTTGCTCAAGGTCGAGGAAGGTAGCATGCAGTAGAAGCAAGTGTCAAAGCCAGTGCAGCAAGATGAATCTTCTTCCTCCTCTGCTGCTGCACAGGACTGCAAGGCTTCACACCAACCTTAGTGCTTGGCAGCATACCAAAACCAGCCCCCTGTGCCCCTACTGCTCAGACACAAGGGTGCAAAGAGGGAGCGAGAGACAGTGAGCTCTCCCGCACTGATGGGAACAGGTATTTCAAGGTCCTTCCCAAAAATGACTCCCCTGGGTGGCCTCCACCATTAAGCAGGACTGTTTCAAGCCAGAGACCCACCTGTGGATGCCAAGGTGAGGTAGTAGAGAAGGGAGCCACACTGGTTGAGGAGAAAGGGCATCAGGTACTAGAAACAGGAGAAAGCTGCAGTAAGTGTGATTGCTAGACTGGGCAGCACTACCTTCTTTGAGCTTCTAGCATATGCCTTTCCTTGGAGAGAGGAGTGGTTATAAGGGCCCAGGGAGCACTAAGCACTCAGAGGACCTTTCCAGAGCAAAGAGGGAAACAGATACTGACCGAACTCCATGCTTTTGCCCTAGAATGCCCTCTCCCTCGGCTCTGCTAGTTCCCATCCTCCCCATCCTGGGAGGCCTTGAGTGCATGCAATGTCACCCCCTCCCAGAAGCCTTTCCTGAGTCCCTCCAGCTCCAGCCTCCCTCCTCTAACTCACACAGCACTTCAGCCGTACCTTTCATAGCCCTTAGCCCTGAGAAGTGGTTGTGTCTCTGTCTTGTCTTTACCACTAGCTTACACCGGCAGCCTTGGAGTCAGAGGCAGTTCTCCATACCCTCTTCCCTTTCCTCCCCAATTTGAGCCCCAAGCTCTCCTTCTGGAAAGGTCAGTTGGAGAAATCGCAATAATAAAGTAATAATAGTAGCCATGAATTGAGCACTTATTGATGTACTGGGCCCAATGCTAAATTCTTTATGTGTCTCATTCCACTTAATCCTCACAACTGCCCTATAAAGTAGGGCATTATTATTCCCATTTTACAACCTATGAAACAGGCTCAGGGAGGACAAGCACATCTAGCGAACAAATGGCGGAGCCAGGATTCTGGCCCAGATCTGTTTGACTCCAGAGATCAAACCCTTAGCGGCCACCCTCGAGAGACAGGCTGTTCAGGGACGCACCTCAGTATTCAAGAAGAGGGTCTTCATCTCCTGCAGTAACTGCTGGGCCCAGGTACGCTCATGAACCCGCTGCAGGCCAGCAGAAGCCCGCTTCAGCATTGGCTGCGTGCCACCCCACAGAGCGGCCACCAGCACCAGGGCCAGCACCTGCCCTGGAAGGAGGTTCTGGTCATTTTACCCTCCCCAACCGGCCGCCCGCCTGGCCCTGCCCTCCCCTGTCCTTCATCCGGACCCGGCCCTCCCCCGGCCGCCCCCCACCTCCCTCCTTCGCGTGTGATTGGCAGGTAGGTCAGGTCTGGAAGGCCGGAAAGATTCGACCAGGAGCCTGGGGTCTGGGACTGTAGCAGGGGTGGGGGCTAGGGGAAGGAGGTGGGGTGGAAAATGAACTCCGAGTTGAGGTTGGGAAGTCCGTGGGGGGCGGGGTCGGTTACCCACCAAGAGACGCCGCCATGGTAACGCCACTTCTTTCTACTTCCGGGAACGGAGGGGCGGAGACCCATAATCCGGAAGTGGCGCCAAAGACTTTTCCGGTCCTGCTGTAGCCGCCGCGCTCCTCGCGTCACCGCCGGCATGGTGAGTTCCACTGCGTTGGGGGTGTTGGATTGGGGGTCCCGGGCTGGGGCAGGGACTCGATTCCGGCCGCTGACACTTCCGTCCTGTCTCCCCAGAAGCCGATCCTGCTGCAGGGCCATGAACGGTCTATTACGCAAATCAAGTACAACCGCGAGGGAGACCTCCTCTTCACCGTGGCCAAGGACCCTGTGAGCCTCATCCTGAGGGCCGGTGGGTGGGACCATGCGGAGGGGATCCGGGAATGGGCGAGTCCATCCTGCCGGGTGATGGTTGTGGAAACTAATTTTGCCGCTAGAGGGTACTCAAAGAGCGCACGGTTCTGAGAACCAGGGAACCGGGACGAGACCATTCTACCAGGGGAACACACCACCCCTCCTAGAGGAAAGCTGATCCATGGGCCACGAGGAACACAGGGGATTTAATGGGGTGATGATGGTGCAGTGGCTAAGCACTGGGCTGCTAACTGAAAAGTTAGCACTTCGAACTCACCCAGTGACTCTCAGGGAGAAAGACCTGGCAATCTGTTCCTGTAAAGATTACAGCTTAGAAAACCCTATGGAGCAGTTCTCCTCTGTCACGTGGGGTCGCTATGAGTCGAAATCAGCACCTAACAACAAGAGTTTCATTTCACTCAGTGGGCTCAGTGAGTGCAAACAGTCTCTCATGGTACTGCCTTTTGAAGCACCTCCTTACAGAGAATATTAACACTAATGGTTAAAAGTGGGACTCTCAAGCCAAACAGACCTGGATTTGAATCCTGACTTTTGCATCTGTTAGCATTGTGATTTTGCGCATGTCATTTAACCTTTTTAAACTTTAGGTTTCCTTTTTTATAAAATATGGGTGCAGTGGTTAAGAGCTCTGCTGCTAACCAAAAGGTAAGCAGTTCTAATCCACCAGCTGCTCCTTGGAAACCTTATGGGGCAGTTCTACTCTGTCCTCTAGGGTGGCTATGAGTTGGAATCGACTTGACGGCAACAGGTTTGGTTTTTATATATAACCCCAGACTAGCTCGTGGGGTTGTCTTTAGGATTAAATGAGATCATTTACACAAGGAGCTTAGCACAGTACCTGGTGCATGTTATTGCTGTGTGCCATCGAGTTGATTCCAACTCACAGTGACCTTATAGTGCATATGAGTGCCTAATTAATGTTAGTCACTTACATTTTAAACTCTAGACATCATTTCATTGACCCCTCCCAGTTACCCTTTGAGGAAGGCATTATTGTTATAGCCACTTTAGAGATGGGAAAACTGAAGGTCAGAGGGGAGAAGTGCTCTATTTGAGATAATACTCTATTTGAGATAATACCGTGATAATCCAGTCCCTGGTGCCGCTATATACACAGGCTTCCCTACTGCCGATTGCTCCCACTTGGACAGGACACCAAAGCTACTGTTTCTTTTAGACTAGAGCTCAGCTTGACCTTTTACTCTTCTGAAGGTCTGGGAATATGGAGGCTAGGGCAGTGACAAAAGAGGACACTTTTGTAAGCCTCCTGACTCCCCTGTTGTTTACCTGCCAGGCAGCTAGAGGCTGCTGAGGGTTCCTGGGGTAAAACAGGCCACCGCTCTGCCTGAGATGTTAGCATCCTGTCATTTGATTCCTCCAGATTGTCAATGTATGGTACTCCGTGAATGGGGAGAGGCTGGGTACCTACATGGGCCACACTGGAGCTGTGTGGTGTGTAGATGCCGACTGTATCCTTTTCTTTGCTCTTTGAGTCTATGCTCCCAGAGTCTGCCAGCAGTGGAGAGGCTACTGAGCTTGGGGCTGATGGTTTGGGATGCTGTTGTGGGTCTAGAGAATGCTAACCTCCCTCTCTAGTCTCTTCCCTGGTTGGGGGAGCTTTTGGGAAAACTTCCAGTTGTGGATAAGGAGGTGAAAATGCTCAGAGGTAGGGAGGGGGAAGAAAGGCTGTTTGGAACAGAACATGGAAGTAATGCAGTTGGCCTCCCAAGAGGACAAGGGCTCAGGTGAACTTGGTCTTGTTCCTTAATACCCACTTCAGGGGACACAAAGCATGTCCTCACTGGCTCAGCTGACAATAGCTGTCGTCTCTGGGACTGTGAAACAGGTAAGCCTGGGTCATTCACTTTTTCAGCAAACATTGAAGACCTACGGTGTGCCTTTTTAAGCGAACACGTTCTGGGGAAACAGAAACAGAAATGTTTCTCGTTCTAGGGAATGAGGAACAGACGAGAAAATAAGGAAGACGAATGAGAAAAGAGGCACTTCAGTAAGATAAAAGCCATGTTAGAGGAAGCATAGAGTACTGTAGCAGGACTGAAAGGACAGCTGCCTGGAGTCGGGGTGGGAGCAGCCAGGGAAAGTTTCCCAAGGTACATGTCATATGAGCTGGGGCTTAAAGGATGAAAAAAGGTCACCACTTTGGCACATGCAGGAATGAAAGCATAGCAGGTGTTAAGTCCAAGTCATCTGATCTCACTGGACTTCCTGCTTCTTGGGTGGTGAAATATGTGGACAGTAGAGAAGATGAGGCTGGATAGGTAGGCTAGAGCCAGAACAGACCTTGAATGCCAAGTAAGGAGTATGGCTTTGTTCTATAAGCTTTGGCAGGCTATAGAGGTCCTGGGGCAGGGAAGAGTGGTGGTCTGTTTACTTTTAACAAGTTCAGGTAGCAGTGGGCAGCATGCATTGGAAGAGCTGAGACTAAAGACAGAGAAGCCTATTAAGCTGCTTCATTTAGTAAATAACTTACTGGGCACCCAATTCTGTGCCAGGCCTATGCTGGGCACTGGGGACACACAGAAAAATTAGACCAGGTCTCCGCTGTGGAGGAGCACAGTGTGAGGGGAAGACAGATTATTGCAAACCACCGTGAGCAGCACCACATTAGCTAATGTCTGAGGAAAGTGAGGGGAAGAAATTAAAAGACTTGAGCCAAAGCAGTAGTAGTGAGGAAGAGGAGAGGGGTGGATTGGAGTCACTGGAGCAGGAGAAACAGTGGTACATGATGCTAGGCGGGTGTAGGGAGTGTTTTCCCATGATGGCAATGGGCAAGGGGTAGCCCAGACTCTGCCTATCACCAGGGAAGCAGCTGGCCCTACTCAAGACCAACTCAGCTGTCCGGACCTGTGGCTTTGACTTTGGGGGCAATATCATCATGTTCTCCACGGACAAGCAGATGGGCTACCAGTGCTTTGTGAGCTTCTTTGACCTGCGGGACCCAAGCCAGATCGGTAAGGGCTGCGGCTGGGGCAGGGCTGGGATTAAGGTGAAGGGTCTGGCTCTGGAGCCCAGCACCTGACATCTGCTGCCTCTCACAGACAATAACGAGCCCTACATGAAGATCCCTTGCAACGACTCCAAGATCACCAGTGCGGTTTGGGGGCCCCTGGGAGAGTGTATCATTGCAGGCCACGAGAGTGGAGAGCTCAACCAGTACAGCGCCAAGGTATGCGGACACGTAGGGCCCAAGCCTGGCAGAATGAGGCCTTTCAAGAGGCAAGATAGCACAATGGTTACGAGCAAAGGCTGGATTCAAATGTAGATTTCACCGCTTTCTAACTGATTTTGGGCAAGTTATGTAACTTTCCTGAACCTGTTTGTAAAATGTTTTAAGGATCAAATAACATCGGATGTTTGAATAACTTGTCACAAAATTAATAATGATCACATATAAGCATTTTCCTGCCACCACTAAGTGCCAGGTCCTGTGCTGGGCTCCGAGGACACAAATAAATCAGACATGGTCCCTACCCCAGGGGGACACAGACTTGTAAACAGCTAGCACATGCGTCAGAGTGTGAATTGTGCCACCATAGAGGTCTCAACAAAGTGTGGAAGGTCCACTCTGTCACAGAGGAGCTAGCATGTGTATTAAGCCATAAGAATAAATGGAGCTTCAGGCAGGAAGGAAAGGGCAGTCCATAGGCTAAAGGAACAGTGAAAGCAAAGGCATGGAGGTTTGGGAGTACGTGGATGAAGCATCTGGTGTCATTGGAATGCAGTATTAGGGAAGGTAGACAGCAACTAGATTTTAAAGGTCCTTGAGTGTCAGGAGGTATGGAGTCTTGATATTCCTCTAGACAGTCAGGAATCTTTAAAGGGTTATTGATCAGATTTTCTCCTTAGAAGGCTTTTGCAGGCTACAGTTTGGAGAATGGATATGAACTAGGACAACAGCTATAGGGATGCAATGGAGTACTAGACAGATTCAAGAGAGATTTAGGGGTGACTTATTGAATACAGGAAGGAGCCCTGGTGGTGCAGTGGTTAACCGCTCAGCTGCTAACCGAAAGGTCGGTGGTTGGAACCCACCAGCTGCTCCATGGGAGAAAGATGTGGCAGTCTGCCTCTGTAAAGATTTCAGCCTTGGAAACCCTCTGGGGCAGTTGTACTCTGTCCTATAGGGTCAATATGAGTCAGAATCGACCCAGTTGGTTTGGTTTGGTCGGGATTAAAGAGAGGCGGTGAGGAAAGGATAAAGTTCAGGTTGTCTCAGGTTTCTGATTTGGGTATCTGGGTTTCTGAGGATGCTGAAAGGTCAGTCAGTCACTGGGTAGGCATGGACAGTGGCCCACAAGGGGCCAGACCTACCCTCAGGAAGGGAGCAAGAACCAAGAGCAAAGGCATGAATAATGCTAGCAAATAAGTGGAGGTGATCTGTGCCCCTGGTAGGCCTGACTGCAAAGCTGGTGCTCATTCCCCAAAATGTTGGCGCCAGATACATCCCTACCATGTGACCACAGTGACTGAGGAGACAAAAGTACACTCTTTCCACAGGATAGGTAGAAATAATTAAGGAAAGGAAATGAAGGTTTTCTGAGGGCCTGCTATGTGTAAGGCACAATGCTCAAGGCCTTTCAGTCATCCAGCAAAGTTACAGAGCATATGCAGATGCCTGTCACAACAAAGTCAGGTAAGACACAGTCCCGGGAACCTTACAGTAGCCCCAGGAGGTGAGATTTTATTAATCTCATTTTCTAGGTAGAGAGATTGAGGCACAGAGGAGTACTTTTCCAAGGGCACACGGCTATAAGGGGCTGACTCCTAAACTCTCCTGTCTATACTACACATGTTGTTTAGTTAGCATGTTGTTTAGTGGGAAGGGAAATAGGGAGATGAAGTGGCCCTTTAGGAGACCTAAAAAAGATGGACATGCATCAGTCCCCATGGACTATGACCTAGATGCTGAGAATGAAGAGGGTGTGGGCTCCATCTGTATGAAACCAAAAGGTCAACACTTAAACTCCATAACAAAGATGAGAAGACAAGGTGGGGCAGGGAAACTAGAGTACTGGAAATGAAACAACCAGAACACAATGAGAATGTTGACACATGGTGAAAAATGTAACTAATGTCACTGAACAACTCGTGTAGAAATGGTCAAAAAGAGGGTATGAGCTTAGGCTGTCTGCCTCTGAGTAGTTGTGTGGTGTCCAGCAAGTCACACCATTTCATGAACCTTAGTTTTTTCCTCCTAAAATTATAATACCCACTTCACAGGATTATTGTGAAGAGTAAATAAAGTAAGATGTTGTTAAGTGCTTAGCACAATGCTTGGCCAAATAGTAGCTGTTCAATAAATATTTGTTGAAAGAAGGAACAAATGGAAACGGTTCTACCATTGTAATATGTTTAATAGGTCCATGGAGTTGTGACCACAAGCATGTGTTTTTCTCAGTCCTGGATGGTCTAGCAGTATTTATGAAACTCTTACACAAGGGTCAGGTTAGGATGTAGGCTTGGGCCCAGGGGACAGAGGAAATGTTGATTCAGGGATACTTAGGCAGTCCCAGCTCAGGCCTCCCCTCCCCTTGATGGGACAAGAAGCAGTGTAGAACCCTGGCTGACTGGGGGTGGTCAGGGCCAGTCAGAACTCACTCTTCTTCCTTCCCCAGTCTGGAGAGGTATTGGTGAATGTTAAGGAGCACTCCCGGCAGATCAATGACATCCAGTTATCCAGGGACATGACCATGTTTGTCACCGCATCCAAGGACAACACAGCCAAGGTGAGCCTGGGCAAGGGGTCAGGCGGGGCTGCTCCCACCCACCTGCTGCACAGCTCTCAACCTGCATGACGTCCCCTAAGAAGGCACCTTTTACATATTTCTCTCCTGCCTTCTCTCTCCAGCTCTTTGACTCCACAACCCTTGAACACCAGAAGACTTTCCGGACAGAACGTCCGGTCAACTCAGCTGCCCTGTCTCCCAACTATGACCATGTAAGGGAGCTCCACCCAGGCTTCCTGCTAAAGCCCCAGAAAGCTTCCAGGATCTAGTGGTTAGACTAGGAACCCTGAGGGGAAATGGTATCAGGCAGAGAGGAGTTCCCAGAGCAAAGTCAAGGCCGAATGATTGGGTAGCCTCCAGGAACAGGGCAGGAGGTGGCTAGGGTGTCTGTTAGTATCCTGCCCTTGGTATCCTCCCAGTCTGATATGGGAGATGTTAAAAGCTTCTGTGGAGGGAAATAAACAGAAAAATGGATTTGGCTGCCCTTCGGGCATGTCTAGAGTTTCTTCTTTCCTTCAGGTGGTTCTAGGTGGTGGTCAGGAAGCCATGGATGTAACCACAACCTCCACCAGGATTGGCAAGTTTGAAGCCAGGTAAGGGGGTGGGGAGCTTTTCCAAATTGAAACCTCATGGAGTGTGTCTCCATGGCTGCTAGGACCAAAACAAACAAAGCCACTGCCTTCTAGTCCATTCTGATAGTGACCCTATAGGACAGAGTAGAACTGCCCTGTAGGGTTTCCAAGACTGTAACCTTACAGGAGCAGATCACCACATCTTCTCCTGTGGAGGGGTTCATGGGTTCGAACCACTGACCTTTTGAGTAGCAACTGAGCACTTAACCACTGCTCCACCAGGGCTCCTGTGGCTGCTAAGAAGTGCAGCCAAATTTGTGGCCCTTCTGTGACAAACATGTAACATAGCAGTTAAGAGCATGCACTGCCAGCTTCACTCTGAGGCCCTAGACAAATCATTGTATTGCTCTGTGCCCAGGTTTCCTCATCTGTAAAATGGGGACAATGATAATACCTACCTCATGAAATCGTACAGGTTAAAGAATTGAGTTAATACTTGTTAAGCTCTTAGAGCACTACCTAGTCCATAGTAAACACTCATTCAGTAAGTGTGAGTTATGTATCCAGGCAGACATTTGGGTCCAGTCTTTCCCTAGCTTCATCTTCACATTCATTTCCCCTTGTCCCGATTGTCCCACTTTATTTTTTGTCATATAATTTGTGTTTAGGGAGTACTACCTCAGAAGTGTTTTGGAAGGAAATGGAGAGTGAATTGTTTCTCCTCTCTACCCTGTCTCTCCCAGGTTCTTCCATTTGGCCTTTGAAGAAGAGTTTGGAAGAGTCAAGGGTCACTTCGGACCTATCAACAGTGTTGCCTTCCATCCTGATGGCAAGAGGTAGGACCTCAGCAACGGGGGCTGAGCTCAGCCTGGGCGGGTCTCTGCCCCACTCCAATGGCCTGCCCCACACGCTGGCCTCTCCCAGGGCAGGCATCTGACTGGTCCCTGGCTATCTCTTTCCAGCTATAGCAGCGGTGGAGAAGATGGTTATGTGCGCATCCACTACTTCGATCCACAGTATTTTGAGTTTGAGTTTGAGGCGTAAGAAGCTGGATCTCCACCTGGGCTGCTTACAGAAAGTTTTGGACTCTGAGAAATAAATTAGTCTGGAAATACATGGTTTCTGGTCAGATATTTTGTGGGGTCAGATGTACCATTTTCCCTTCTCACTGACACCCCAGTAAGCTGATGCCAGTCATGGATACCTTTATTATTTGGACCTTCTCCCTACATTTTGGATACTTCAAACCTGGAACTTCAGTATTATGGGCTAGGCTGGCTTGCAGGCTTCTTCATCCAAAGATGCTGAATCCTGGAGAGGTCTCAGGAATGTCTCAGCCACTCTCCAAGGAGCCGATGCTTAGGGGTGGGGCTCAGAGGCTGAAGCTGCTGGCTGAGAGCCTTCTGTCTTCTCCCTTTCTGTCACTATTTGCCACACCTTCTCCCATGCCACCTCTGGAGGCTCAGGTGGGCGGGTCCAGTGCAGAAACAGGCCTGAGGAGAAGGACAAGTAAGGAAGCTGAGCAGAGGGGATGACTCCCCAGGGGGAGAAGGCGAGGTGCGGGGTCACCTTGCCACAGTCGCAGGCTCTGGAGCTTCACAGAGGGCCACATGGCCAACAGATTGAGGACATAGAGTGGGTTCCGCAGTTTTCGTTGCTCTTTTGGCTGGTTGAGCCCGGACCAAAAGGGAGTGTGTTCGACTCCTCACTTCACACAGGCATCTGCAGGAAGTGAATAAATGAGTTTCCAGCCTGAGCTATGCCTCCTGGGATTCTGGGTAGGAGACCCTGATTAGTGGGGTAAGAGCCCCCTTGGGGCAGTGATAACCCCTCATTGTTCCCGCAAGATTGTTTCTAGTCAGATCTTGTCCTGGACTCCAGAACAGAGCAGGAACAAGACAAAAGTTTTTAAGAAGTTCTGTTCAGAGGTAGAAACCAATTTAGCTTTGTCTAAAAGTGTTAAGGAAGGCTTATCAAGAATGTGATATTTGAGCTGAGTATCAGCAGAAGTTCACCAGGTGTGTGACGACATGGAAACATTTAGGAGGGGGAGCCCCATGAACAAAGGAAAACAGTAGAAAAGGGACTGACAAGTTTTAGAACAACATGAAAGTGGAGACAGCGCAGTGAGGAGGCTGTTCCAATGGTGGAGACTGGAAAAAACGAGATTAAATTAGGGCAGTAGGGGGGCCTGATGAGAGGACTAAGCTAAGAAATTTTTAGGAGAAAGGCTAAATTTGAGGGATGGGTGAGAGGGAGGTAAATAAAGAGGATGGTTTTCTAACCTGGATAAACTCATTAGTGAAGTTAGTGAAAAGACAGGTGGGGAGGGCTGGACAGCAGAAGATAACTATGATCTCTACCTTCTTGGAGAGCAATGATCCCTCCCATTTCTCAGTCTAATAAGACAAAGATGATTATGGGGATTTATTGGGAGCATATGCAACAACCAAAGAAAAATAATTACCACTTTTTGTGTGCTTATTATGTGCCAGGCACTGTGCTAAGCACTTGCCATGCTTTAACTTAAGTCATCAACCCCGTATAAATTGTGGCTACTATAATGATTTTCCCCATGCTATAGATGAGGAAACTGAGACTCAGGTTTGCTTAAGATCACCCAGCAGATGAGTGGCAGAGCCAGAATTTGAGCCCAAACAGTTTGACTCGATTTTTAACCTCTGTTCTATTGCTTCACTAGCAAAGTGGTAGAGCCCCCAGAAATGATTTAACTTGGCAGGAACTTTCCCGTCCAGTCCCTGTTGTCAAAAGTTAGGTGTACATTTGTTTTGGAGGGTGGCTCCCACAGTTAAGCAGTAGATGAAAGGTTGGTGGTGCAAACCCCCTAGAGGTGCCTTGGAAGACAGACCTGGTGATCTGCTTCTGAAAGTTCACAGCCTTTTGAAAACCCTGTGAAGCTCTGAAACCATGGCCCCCAGATGGTCTGTTAACCCAGAACTGAAACTATTTCCAAAGCCCACTCTTCAGACCAAGATTAGACAGGACTATAAAACAAAAAACAATACATGTGAGGAACGTGCTGAGTTGAGTCAGATACACGAGACCAAATGGGCAGCTCCTGTCCAAAAGCAGGATGAGAAGGCAGGAAGGGACAGGAACGGGATAAGTGGACACAGGGAAACGGGTGGAAAGGGGGAGGGTGCTGTCACATTGTAGGGATTGCAACCAATGTCACAAAATACGTGTATACATTTTTGAATGAGAAATTAACGAGCTGTAAACTTTCATCTAAAGCACAATAAAAAAAAACTCTGTGGAGCACACATGGGGGTTGCCATATGTCAGAATCGACTCAACGGCAACAACAACAATGGACAAGGTGGGTAGGTCTGAAGGACTGGCCTTGGACCTATCTCTTGAGTTTGGAGAAGTTAGGAGGAAGTGTGAGATTTTGGAGATAGGGAAAGAGGATACTCAATTTTCGTAAAAACTTCTAAGGGAAAGATGTCTTCTAAGGAAATAAAGTGCTGATGCAGCAGGTGCCTGGCCCTATCTTGTGCCTGCCGCAGACCCACTTTGGCACCCCCTTAGCTCACCTCTCCTTTTCGCTGTTGCAGAGGAAGGTGCCAAAAGGGGAGGTATAGGTGTGCTCAAACAGCACCAACAGCAGCCCCTCCTCAAACTCCAGCGACAGCGGGAACTGGCGGCCCAGCTGTCACATGCAGTCCAGGAAGAAGAGAAAAGTGGGTGCCTTATGCTTGGGGCGGGCATGGGAGAAGGCCGAGTGGGCACAGTGCAGCTGGAAGGGGTGGCCAGCCTAGGGAGGGGGCAGAGCCATGAGCACAAAGAAGCAGGGTTTCTGGATGGAAGGGTAGGGCTGGGGCTTTATGGCCACTTACCTGTATCCACTCCCACCAGTTCCTGGAATCCAGCCATGGTCCAGCTCAGTGGATCCAGGATGAGTTGGGCCAGCGAAGTCATGAGCAGGGTGCTGTCTGTACCTTCAGCCCCATGCACCAGGATGCAGGCTCCTTCCCTGTGGACCCAGGAGCTCAACAGTGTCCAAGTCCTTCCCTACCTTGAGCAGCTGGGCCAGGTGTAGAACGGGCCCTATTCCAGGTCCATGGCTTTGTGCCAAGGGTTGGGAGTCCTGACCCTTCTGCCCTGTTCTGTCTCACAGGTGGAGGGCCTGACCTCTCCATGCCCTGGGCTGCCAGACAAGCAGTGCTCTGTGCCTCCTTCATGTATGCCAGCCAGTGGCAGCCCTCTAGCTGACTAAGCCAGCAATCTGTGCTCTGCTCCAGGTCCCCACAGGCCTCCACCAGGCACATGAAGCTCTCCTGTAGGGGCCGCCCCCTGGGCAAGTGGGAGTCTGGTCATCTCTTCCCCAGCCCAAGCTCCTGATGAGCATGGCCTGGAAGCAAGTGCTCCAGATCAGTAAGGGAGCCATAGAACCCTCCAGGCGGCCCATCTGATGGGAACGACACAGGACCCTTTGGGGAGCCCAGTCTCATGCAGCAGAGAATCCACTGAAGAGCTAATCTGATAGAAGTGATTCAGTATTCTTAAGGATTGCCCAGTCTGATGGGGGAGACCCAAGACTCTAGGGAGACCTAGTCTGTTGGGAGACACAGCATTACCCGGGGAGGGGTCACACAGAATGCCATGGGAAGCCCCCAATTTGGTAAAAGTATCACAATACTCTTGAAGCATCCCAATCTGATGAGAGTGACAGGACACTCTGGGGAGCCCATACGACACAAGACACACAGTACTTTTGGGATTCTGGCATCTGTTCCTACTTCACAGAAACTGCTCTGCTCAAGGTACCAGTGACCTTTTGCCAGAAAATCTAATGGAGATTTTTCAGCCCTGTTTAAAAGCCTTCAATGGCTTTCCACTGTCTTTAGGATAAAGTCTAAACTCGTGATCATGGCTTCTGCTCTGGCCCACCATCCCTTTAGCTCCATCTCTCTAGTCCCACCTCAACTCTATACTCCCACCATACTGAAATACTTGCTGTTCCCCAACAGGGCAATGGCCTGTGTCTGACACCTACAGTTCCCTCCACCCAAAATGTCCTCCTTCCCTCTAACCCCTCCTCTTTCAGGTCTCAGCTAAAGCGTCAGGGAAACCTTCTTTGGACTACCTATACTAAGAGAGTCACTTAACACACTGACTTCAAATTGCTCATTTACGGTTGATCTCTCTCAGCCTTGTCTGGATTGCCACCATCACAGCCCCTGTGCCCAGTCAATGTAGGTTGACTAAATGAATAAAGAGAGTTTTTGTATTCTGGATAAAGCAGCAGTCTACTCTCCTCAGAGCACAAAAACTCCCCCTAGAACCTCCTCTTGGCACTACCATCACTTGGAAATAGAGAAAACAGATACATGTGTGCAGACACAGCCCTCAGAGCAAGCTGGGACTGATGGGGAGGTGTGTGACTGTGTAAGGGGATTGTCAGAGTTAGGGTGCCTAGAGAGTAATGAGCTCTGTCACTGGGGGTGTGCAAATGGGGATGCCCAGCTGGCGGGATGGCAGACGCTCCTCCATAATACATCCATGAAGGATATTGCAGGAGAGAGCCTGGGAGATAATAGGAAGGCCCGTGGGTCTACCTTACCTCTCCAGGGCCCAGTGCAGCCGCTTCCAGCCAAGGTAGGCGGCCTTCGCCTCCGTGCCGCCGCCAGTCATGCGGGCCTGTTTAGCAGCCTGGGCAGAGCGCGTGTCCACCACGAAGCCCCGGGCCCCAGGCAGAGTACCCGCCAGCACAGCTCGCAGCAGCAACTCGTCCTCAGCGCAGCGCCGCTTCTGGGGGCCTTTCAGGGGCTGGCTGGAACGCAGCAGCACCTGCCGACAGGGACTCATCTCCGGGGGCCGTACCCACTCAGCCCAAGCCCAGGGAGTGTGTCCAGGACACCTCTTGGCTGGATCTACATTCAGGAGCCAGGCTAGGGGTGGGAAAGGCGAGAGCGAAGCGCAGGGGCCTTAGAGGCGGAGCTTTGTGGCTGGACTGGATAGGGACCTGCTAACTAGGCCGTGGGCGGATCATGGGTTGACACAGGAGGGACCAGGCTTCAAGGGGGCAGGGGCCGGCCAGGGGCGGGGCCAGAGAAAGGGAAGACCCTGAAACACGGGAGAGGGGCGGGGCCAGAGTCGGCAACGGCGGGATTGAGCGAGTGGGCGGGCCCTGTTGGAGGCAGGCTGGGGCGGGGCCAGAATAGGGCCGAATCTGGGGCGGTAGCCAGGCTGTGAAGTAGACAGTTGCAGAAAACGGCCGAGAAGATGCACAGCTGATCTCGGGGGCGGAATCTGGGGCGGGGCGGAGCTCACTGTTCCCCTGGGCGCGAGGTGTTAGCTGAGCACCGGGAAGCGGCCTCTCTGGCGGAAATGGGCAGCCAAGGCCTTGTCATCCACCGCGCGAGGCACGATCACCGCCCGGGGGTAACTGGAACACAGGCTGAAGTCCTCATTCACCTCGCTCAGCCGCCACGCGTTGGTCCGTGGCACAGGGAGGGGCGAAGGCCAGGTCTAGGGCACCCAGTGAGCGCCCCGTCCCCACGTGTCTTCCAGGCCCGGCGCTTCCATATGCCCAGGCCCCCACGGCCGCGCCCACCTCGCGAGCTACTCGCTTGTAGTAGCTTTCGGGCGAGTGAAGGTGCCAGGGGTCGCCCAATCTCAGACCCTTCGGACGGTAGAGGAACGGAAAGGAGGTGATGACTGATTCCAGGGAAGACAGTGCCTGGGGAAGGAAGTCAGGGGGAAAGGTAGGAATCCGCCCACCCGCGCGCTCTCCAGCCCCTCCATTCTGTAGCTCCCGCCCCTCCAAGTACCTCAGACCAATCAGCATACTTCCGCCGTTTAGCTAACACTGGATGAGAAGTCCCCTCGCACTGTAGCCCGTTTACTCCCCCTCTATGCGGGAAAGGGAGTACTGGCGGCGCAGTTGTAAGAGCTCGGCTGCTAACCAGAAGGTCGGCAGTTCGAATCCACCAGCCGCTCTTTGGAAATTCTATGGGGCAGCTCTACTCTGTCCTATAGGGTCACTGTGAGGTGGAATCGACTAGACGGCAACGGGTATAGCGGAAAGGGTTGGCTTCAGGGCCACTGGTGTGTACCCGGCGTAGCTTGATGGAGCAAGCGATGTCCAGCGTCGTTTCCACACCCTCTATGTCCAGCTGCAGCACCCGCAGGTCTTTACAGCGAAGCGTGATGGTGCCCGATTCATCCGCGACCCTGGGGATGCACGGGCTCAGACTCAGTGTCCCCGACCCCAGCCGGGGGAGAGGAAAGGAGTCTCAAAGGATTTAACGTTTTGCAGTAGGGCGCCAGCTCCCACCGCGCTTTCCCTTCCCCTGCTCTCCGCCGAGCTGCGCGCTCCCAACTCCAGAGACTCCTCTGCCACGTCTCACCGTTTCTCGATGGAGTCAACACCACGCAGCAGCAGCAGCAGCCACAAGTCCTGGGGCCCTGGCAATAGCAGCAGGTGGCGGCCGGTGACGCACAGCGTGCCGAGCAGCCAGGGCGCCTCCGGGCCCCGCAGGAACTTGGCCTGGGCCCGGCTGATGCAGATCAGCTCCGAGAACTCCATGCCGCCCGTGGGGGGCCTGGGACCCAGCAGAAGGACAGACTCTGGGAGCAGCAGCAGGCCGGCGGGCCCGGGCTCCGAAAGGGACCTGAATTAGCTGGGCAGCTGGCGACGCCGGCAGGACAGTTCTTAAGGAGGCCCCTCGGAGGAAGGGATATCATAGTTGCACAGGAATTTACCCTTCCTATTGCCCATTCCTCCTAGCGAGGATCCGGCCCGGAGCCTGTTAAGGGAACCTCAATTTCCTCATCTGTGAAATGCGAGAATAATTTTGCTTAAAGTCTTTAGCCCAGTCCCTGGATCTCAAAAGACACTATTGTTTTTTAAACCCTGGGTAATGTCACTCCCACTGACTTAAAAAAGAAAGACAAATAACCACCTCTTTCCCTGTGCTTTGGTAGGAGGGCTGAAAAGGATGACCTTGACACTGGCAACTGCTTATTTCCTCCCATACCTCTGAGGTTTGAGTGATGAAAATTCCTTGGTCCACCGTAGATGCAAGCAGCTGTGTAGCTGGCACCCCACCCCCTCCACAGCTGGATGTCCTTGCCCCATCTTTTCACCAAGAATGTATGCCTGAACAGTGAGCTGGGTTCGGTGTTTGATGTTGGGGACCCAGGGATGACTGATGAAGGTTCTGATAGCAGAGATTTCAGTCTAGCAAGAGACACGAAAGCCAGCAGATTACTGAAATAATGGAGAACTCAGCAATCCACTCATCCATCCTTCCATCCAATTTTCTTTCATTCCTTAACCACTGATGTCTATACTCTGCTGGAGTCTGATTACTAGGAAGAATAAGACTGATTCTAGCCTTCAAAGGGCCATCTGGTCCACTCGGTTCCAGAATTTTTGGGGGGAGGGGAGGGGAGGGGAAACCCTTCTTTCAGATGAAAATCTGAAGTCATGGGTGGAACCCCATAATATAAACATAAAATTGAAACTGCTGTACAAAAGGTCAGCCGTTTGAATCCACCAGCCGCTCCTTGGAAACCCTACGGGGCAGTTCTACTCTGTCCTATAGGGTCTCTGTGAGTCGGAATCAATTCCACGGCAATGGGTTTGTTTTTTTTGGGTGGTATACAAAAGAAACCAGATGCAAGAGTACAAATGGTAAAATTCCAGACCAGCAGCATCACCATCACCTGGGAATTTGTTACAAATGCAAGTTATCAGGGCCCACCCAACATTCTGAATCAAAAACTCTGGACCTGGAGCCCAGCAATCGGTTTTAACCAGCTCTCCGGGTGATTCTGATGTGTCCTAAAATTCAAGAACCACTGGAAAATACATAAACAGACAAAACTGATCTATGCTGTCAGAAATTAGGGGTAGTGACAGGCCAGAAGCACAAGAGAAACTTCCCGGGTCTGGTAATACTCTGCTGCTTGATTTGGGTGCTGGTTACAGAGATGTGTTCAGTTTGGGAGAATCCATCAGTTGTGCATTTTTTAAAAATTTTATTGCAGTAGAAACATACATAAGAAAACATACACCATATCAACAAACCTTACATGTGACATTGATTACATTCTTCAAGTTGTGCAACCGTTCTCCCTATCCTTTTCCAAATCATTCCACTGCCATTAACATAATCTCAATGCCTCCTAAGCAAAAGCTCCCCTTTCTCCCTCCCTTCCTGCCCTGGTAACCACTAATAATCTTTGGTTTCTCTATATTTGTCCTTTTGCAACTGACTTATTTTGCTCAGCATGTTTCCAAGGTTCATCCATCGTGTGGCATGTATCAGGACTTCATTCCTCTTCATGGCAGAGTAATATTCCATCGTACATATACACCACATTTTGTTTATCCATTCATCAGTTGTTGGCCATTTTGGTTGTTTCCATCTGTTGACAATTGTAAATAGTGCTGCAGCGAATATTGGTGTACACGTGTCTGTTTGCATCACTCAGGTGTTTTGGGTCTATGTGTATTTTATAATTCAATACAAACTTAAAGAGGGAACTTCCCTGGTTGAGTCCTGGGATGGGGCTAAAGAGCGCATCCATAATTCTTCCTTTCCCTCTGTTGTGAGGGATTCCCAGGGGACTCTAAGACGCCTCAGAGTATAATTTGAAATCATTGATCTGTCCCAACTGAGGCCCAGAGAGGGTCAGTGACTCGCCCAAAGTCCCACAGAGCCAACACCAGAACCCAGGTCTCCTGATTCCCAAGCCAGGGCCCTGGGCACTATTCCTTTGCTGAAGGGCCAATGTCATGAGCGAGGACTGGGAACAGCTGGGCAGCCTCCTTCTCCTTTCCCACTCCCTTAACTTGGGGCTTGGGAGGAGGGCCAAGACTCTAGTGCGGATGATGCTTTTCTTATCCTGGAGCAACTTCCTTTCTGGGAACTGGGTGTCTCCTTCTGGTCAAAGACAATAAAATTCATCCAAGGGGCCAGAGGAGCGTGGTTCCTCCTGCCCTCAACCGGATGGGCATCACGTGGCTCTCTGGGTTAGCAGTCCAGGAAAATTCCAGCCCTTGCACACTCAGCCTCCCACAACTATCTGCTCACCAGCCTGGTACACGCAGACTCCTAGGCCCACCTTGAACATTCACCATTGCACCCTCCCTGGCACACTTCTTTCACCCTTGGCTTCTGCCACCTCTCCCTGGGCAATATTGTCAGCCCTTCTATAACCCCAGAGCAGCAACCCTGACCCATCATCCACGCCAACCCCACCATGTCCCTGGGGCCACTAAAATTCCAGGCAGTGGGCAAAGAGGATGAAAAGGATGATGAGGAGGAGAGCCTGGACTCTGTGAAGGCGCTGACGGCCAAGCTGCAGCTGCAGACACGGCGGCCCTCCTATCTGGAGTGGACGGCCCAGGTCCAGAGCCAGGCCTGGCGCAGGGCCCAAGCCAGACCTGGGCCAGGGGGACCTGGGGCCATCTGCGGCTTTGACTCAGTGGACTCTGCCCTTGAGTGGCTCCGCCAGGAGCTGGTGAGTATGGTGGGGTTAGCAACCCTTCAGAGGGCACTTGGGCCAATCTTGCTTAGAGCCCAAGACCAGGGATGTGGGGCAGGGGATGAGAATGGACCCCACCCCCAGCAGCTGCCACTCCTGTGGCTGTGTCCTGGAGCTGAGGAGCCAGGAATGGACCTGTCCAGTGTTTTATTTGGGGAACTTTGTCGAAGAAGGGTTCCATCCAATCCGCTTACCTCGTGCTCCTAAGCTCAGGGAACAGAGCCCTGCCCTTCCAGGGTTACCAGTTATAATTGGGGGAAGACTTGGCCTCCCTCTTCTGGGAACTTCTATACCCCAAAGATACGGTGAAGTACAAAAGGAGGCACTGAGCACGCTGCAGGCAGAAATCTGAGGGGTGAATGTTGACTAGGTGACTCTCTAACATGCACAAGTACAAAGATGTCAAGGCTCTATCCTGAAGATTCTGCTTAGCTGATCTGGGATGGGGCCCCAGGCATCTGTATTTGTCTAATAATGGCTCCTTAGCTTGGTTTGAGAAACACCAGTGTGGAGCAAGATCTGACAGACGCAAACGGATCAAGCTAGGGTGAGAGGAGTCGAGAGGAAACAGCCAGTGAAAACGCTCCCGAGTGTTTACAGGAAGGGGCCAAGGGCGGCGCAAGGCCGAGGGTCTGTCCACTCAAGGCTTACGCCCCCTCTCGGCCGCAGCGGGAGATGCAGGTTCAGGACCGGCAGCTGGCGGTGCAGTTGCTGCGGCTGCGAACCCAGCTTCACCGGCTAAAGGTAGACCAGGCCTGTCACCTGCACCAGGAGCTGCTGGACGAAGCCGAGCTGGAACTGGAGCTGGAGCCGGGGGCTGGCCTGGCCCTAGCCTCGCCGCTGCGGCACCTCGGCCTCACGCGCATGAACATCAGCTCCCGGCGCTTTACCCTCTGCTGAGGGGCACCAGCGCCCCTCCGGGGCCACCTGCTGCCTCTTCCCCAGCCTGCCTGGGGTGCCCCAGAGGCCTCAGCACCTGGCGGGGATGAGGTGGAGTGGGGTGGGGCGGGGGTGCTCAGCTCTCAGAACTTCTGATAGCGCAAAGCCCTGGCATCCTGTCCCTATCTGCTGCCCCAGCTGGGGAAGGGGCGGTGTTCAAAACACCTCCCCAAACCCCCAGGCTCTTCAATAAACACCCTCTCTGCTTCCCATCAAGGTCTCTGTAGCTGTTTATTTAGGCCCAAGGTCGCCTGTCTGTAGCTGGGACCAGCGATTCCCCAGCAGGAGGAAAAGCCCTGTGCTG